GAAGCATCGTTCTCCCACATCTGATCATATTTATTTATGAATTGTACTGTACATTGTTTACTTTACACAAGGTACGGTTAGTTTTTTTATGGAATAGGAGGCAAACGAGCAGACGGATCACCTGATGGTAAGCGATCGGCGCCGTCCATGGACATCCGCAACACCAGAGGAGTCACAGGTGCGTTGCCGGCCTTTTAAGAAGGAATATGCTCGTTTCTTAAAGGTTTGAACAGTTCTAAGGTATTTTAGATATTAAAATATTTTATAAATAGTATATGTCAATAAATTAAACCTTCTATTATCCAACTTCAGAGTATTTCTACTCATTAGGGGCTGCGATCGCATCCAATTGATTATGCTACTTCTCTGCGTCCATTGGGGGTGACCCCATAAGTATAGAGCGACTCATTGACCCGACCTTACTCAAATATTGTAACTTTATGTGTTTATCCACTCGTCTCTAATACAAAGCTTGTTGTACTCGCGTAGTATTGTGATCAACTCAGAATTAAACTAATGAATGTAGAATTGTTTAGAAATTGAGATAAAAGTATTGTATTTAGCTTTGTTTTGTATTTGGGTGTTGTAATGACGGCAGTTTTGATAGATCGAAAACAAAACTGTTAAGAATAAAGAAATTAAGATAAAGATGCTTTGTCTTAATAAAAACTTATTTACAATCTCTAAAATGGACGGGTTTTCTCAAAAACTGTACAACTGTACAGTGAGTGTAGGAGAGCCATGCCTCGGCTAGAATGGGTATCAGCTAGATCGGAGTGACTCCACGGCCTCAAAATAAAACGGCGTGAAATAACAATAGCGTTGTGCTTCGCCGTATAGTTGAGGTTACCGGAGGCCCAATCCTTCTCTCCCTTCATTCCTCCCCAATCCTTGAATCCAAAAACACCTCATCTCCATAATACCAGCAACGCACTTGCAACTACTTTGGTGTTGCAGGTGTCAATGGGCTGCACCGATTGCTTTCTTTGCTTTCTGCTTTCTCCGACGCCAGTTCGTTTGCGTATCACATATAAAAGTATATTTGTTTGGAGAATTTTAGGTACAACTACAATATTAGATTATTAGCAACATTATGTTAGCATTATGTCCAAGCAAGCTGACACTGATTTTACCGGCAATTTAAATCATAATGAGTCATAACTTGTATCATTTTCCAATGAAGTTAGATTGCTACAACTGGACACTGAAACTATTCCGCAATTCTTTCACAGTTTCATATTAGCATAATGATTGTATCATAGACCAAAATATGAGACAAAGTTAGTATATTCACAATAGTGCGGGTTTTCCGTACCAAATTTTTAGTTATTATTGTGTAAATTAGCGGAGAAGCGTGAAAACTGGTGCCTGATATAGTTGGTTGCACCTACTGACTGCTCGATGTTAATGAAAAATTGGTTATCAACTAGCCACGGTATCGAGGCGTGGTAAATACAGTTAACAAGGAAATTGACAGTAATAAGTTGTGTTACAAAATATTGCTACGAAAGTTCAGAATATTACTTTTCCCTTTTATACATATTTGTAGCTAGCTACTGCCATGTAGTTTCACCCGCTGCTCGGCTGCTATTGGTGGTAGGGTGTTATAATAGTATATACTCCTATAGTACTCGGGCACATTGTAGCTATCTATCTATCAGAATTTTGGGATATCGACCAGCTGTTCCAAAGGTTACCCTCTACATACAAACTTACAATTTTTTTCTCTTTATAACATTGTAGTATTAGTATATAGGTATTTATATATTTTTGTCGTCCGGTGTGTCTTTTGTATAGATTTTGAAAAGATATGTTATTGTTTTTACATGTTAAGAGAGAGAGAGAGAGAGCTCTATTTTAATCATTATCAAACATCGACATTAATATATATCTATATTAAAACGCTTAAATCTTTGAAACTACGCAACGGATTTTGATATTATTTTTTAGAAGATACAGTAATTCAAGAGGAATGTTTATAGTAAGTAAGTGAGGTTACCGAAGATTTGTTGCACTCGTACGAAGCTGAGGCGGGTCACTATGTTTTACATATAAAAAAGATATTAATTTATAGATTCAATAGTTACTTTGCGGAAATCCATGACATTAAATGTTAGGAAAAAAAATTTAGTTTTTATTCCGCGACAAAAAAAGTAACATGCATATGCACACATGCAAAAAACAGAAAAACATGCCACGCAATCAAACCTCGTCGAGTCAACATCTCCTGAGGATGCCCTGTGGAGGGGCGAAACACGTGTCGAGTATAGGTTTGATTGCGTGGCCTGTTTTTCTGTTTTTTGCATGTACATGTGCATGTTACCTTTGCGGCATGTGCATGTGCATGATTGAATAGGAATGGGATTGCATCCTGCAACAAGCCTGGATTTTTGTCGCGGAAAAAAGCTAAATACTTTTCCTAACATTTAAAAAGATATTATTCAAACAGTTATCAAGTTAGAGGTGTAAAGTTCCGCAAAGTTGGGTTTTTATGTCACGTCATTGTTACACTGATCTATAAAAGGAACTCATTATCCGAAAGTGATCGTGTCATTATTCTCTTCTCCGAATGTCTATTAATCATAAGAAATGTTACGGAAGCCGGGTTTTGAGACCACGTCATTTAATCAATTGATTTATATCCAAGATATTGTGGATCAAAATTGTTGTAACTAGCAATTGGTAGATTATTTATTGAACAAATTTACTTTATTGGAAATTAGGTGTAGTTAACTGTACCACATGGACATCACAAGCCTAACTATCATCAGACGGGGTTGCGGGGTAAGCGCAATGAGGCACCGCGACCTCGGCCGAGAGCAGGAGAAGGAACAGGGGGGTTTTTAGTCAGTGAGAGTCTGACACTCCCTCCCGCTCGGCCCTGGGCGGGAGAAGTCATTTGATGATTTTCCCCTCACAAAAAAAGCCTAACTATCGTCCTGTAGATACGAGTACGTACGATGTTATAATAGTATATTGTATAGTAGAAAATCTTAAATATTTATCTGTTTCTAATACTCAAATCAGCAGAGTTTACTATTCGAATTTACTACGCTGACGAGGATGAAAGAAATATATATTTTACACCTAGTCTATAAGATTTCTTAATTACATGGCACATAGCCAGCGTGCTAATTACGTATTTGATACATAATCATGTGTGTACACGTAATGCCAATAGAAATAGATCAGCAGGCATACACAGGGCTCCAATGAAAACATCAAAGGAAAATTATAATTAATAAATAATAGCATAATTATGTTACATTATCTCTATATACACATTAAATGATAGTTTCTGAGAACACGTTTGCAGCAAATATTTTCGTCAGCGAGTTGTGTGACGTCATATCTCATGTCGCTTTTGAGATGACTGATTCATATTGCTTACACGACCATAACACGTGGACTGGTCCTGATAACTGTGAGAATTGATATAGGGTATTTTTACTGTAAGTAGTATCTATTCTTTTGCTTTTCTGGTGTAGTTTTATATCAGTACCTTGATGTCATAGTAATTTGTATTAATATACATAGGTGTAAATTTTTTATTTTGTATAATTTAGGCAACAAACTAATGTTTAAGCGTAGGACTGGAAACTGATCGGCCATGCTTCGGCACGAATGGGTCGTTTCGACCGGAGTGATACCACGGCCTCACAGAAAACTTACGTGGAACAAACACATGTAGTGTTAAGACGTGAGTGAGGTTGTCGGAGGCCCAATCCTTTCCCATCCCCAATTACTCGCCATACCTAAATCTCCTAAACCTCAATCCTCAATAGGTTGGCAACATACTCGTAACTCCTCTGTGTTTGCGGGTGTTAATTATTTATAGTTACAAGATCTTTGCCGCTCTTTTGGGTATTAGATAATCGAGGAATGCTCCTCTTTAATTTCAGTTTCATATACCATGAACGTTAAACTAATGCTCAAAGTGACCTCAAACATCCATTTAAAGTAAAAAATACCCTTGACACAGTAAAGCACGTTGGATCATACCATTTCTTGACCTTTGAGATATTTCTTCCCAAACGACTCCCTTAATGGAGACTGATGACGTATTCCGATTTCTACTAATTAATTGATCCCAATCACGCTACTGAAATTACTAAGTGTGGTTGCTGTGCCAGTTTACCAGACGGAGAGGTCAAAAAATGCATAGAAACTACTAATATTAAAATCGGGATGTTTCTAAGCCATACTACAATAGACAGAAAAATAGTTATTTGGCAAACGTGTTAAATATTTGTTTACAAAAATATTTAAAAGAAGAAAGAAAGATCAATGTTTTACTCTTTCACGAAAGAAATACTCAAACAAATCTGTATAAAATTCGGTACAGAGATAGACTGTTAGTCTCGAATAACATAGATCACTTTTACCTTGTAAACTGTAGCATCTGTCTCCGGCTCCGCCGGCTAGTTAGTTTTTTTTTAATATTTTGAATGTGACTTACAGGGTTTTTGAGTAAGAGTAAGGTAGGTGTAAGTACTAAAAAGGCTAAAGCATGAATTTAATAACTATCGAAATTGAGAAACTAATTCATATAAAATTACAAATAAACTACTGATTGATACTGAAAATGTGAAAAATGCCTTGCAAAAAAAATCAACAACATTGTCTAATTGATTAACCAGTTTCACATTTTGATCTTCATCATAAATATACTACAATGTCTTCTAGGAAGAACTCGAAAGTAGAAGACAGTTAGGAGATAATTCTTGTAATCGATAATGAAATTCGACTTCCGTTTCGCGTAAGACGAATCGATGCATCGACCGTGAGCGCAAACAATCCACTTTACCACCTGAGTGACAAAAAATCCGGATATACATGCACCTGACTATCTTGTCATTAATCGGAGATCAGAATCTGACCAGTAAAGTATTTTATACACAAAAGTTAAGGCCCCTATTAAATCATGATCCCTTGACATCTGTACTGACACCCAAGAAGGTTAAATATTAACATTAATGACACTCTTTCAATTTTTTCAGACGAAGCCGCGGTACGAGTGACTGTGTATACGATGCAAGCGACTTTGGACGTTAGTTCCTAGAGATTAAGTTTTAAATGGGACTGTAAGATGAGCTGGCACAGAGGACCTTTCGTCATTCGAGCTCAGATCACTTAAAGAAATGAAGGTGAGGAAACATTTTTTGCTGATTTTAACTGCGGTTTGTAAAGATCGTGTTAGCGCGGTAAATTATATTCAATTAAGGAAAAATCTGGTTGTGATTACGTATTACACGTATCAATGTTAATCAAGGAATGCCATCAAAATCGGGCCATGATAATTGATAACATTCGTGTCCCCGACTGTCTGACTCACTATCAGTCACTCACCTAACTGTTTGAGACTGACATATTTATGGAAATAAACTTTCTTAAAGTTTAATATCTACCTACGACGACAATGGTGTTATTTTTAAATAAACCTAACTTTTGACAGTTTTCCTTATCTTTATTAAGTACGAAGATTCGATCTATAAAAACATTTCAATTGTCATTTTTTGATTAGCTATTAATTATCACGCATGATAATTATTATAATCATTACTTATTTACTGACCTTGTATTAGATTTTGGCGTGGCTTTGAAACAAAATTCACTTATCAAAAGCAGAAGTAAGTTAAAGAATTTATAGACAAACAACCAAAAATAAAAAAAACAGTTTTTATAAATATGCTCATATAACAGTAGTTTTAATATGAAGCGAGGTTCGCTTTCTGAGTGATTAAGGTCATTGGATGGAGGCAACAATTACGTTGGCATTTTTTATTTTGTAGTGAATTCATTATAATTTCGCATGTTAGTTGTGAATGTTTGTAGAATATTTCTACTATTTACATTTATGAATGGGCATGAATTTGGGTGAAACAAAAGTTACAAAACATAGCTAGAAAATAGTTAAACAAAATACATACGAATGGAATCAAAATAATAACAATGACTGATTGAATACCTATTCATAAATCGAGCAGAAGTTCTGAGGGACGCACAATTCGAATTCTCTAGTATTATAGTATTTTGGTAGAGTAAATTATTACAAAAAAATCAATAAAACTATGTCGTTAATATATTGAATAAAACTAAAAGTATTTTTTTCCAATATGACGCCAAAATTAAAGCAAATTCATTTATTTATCATTGACCATTAAGTTATCACAAATATCTGATTCCGCATATTTCCCCAGCTTATTACCTATTTCTTTGTATTATGACATAAGTAAGTACATACAAGTCATATGATATGATAATTTTGATAATCACATGTAAAGTCAAAAGATATATAAGTATTTCAATTAATTTTATCAACGGGGAGCACTTTCTTTATAGATAACATTAGGATTACTTAGAGAAAAATACACCTTACCAGACATAATTATTTTGATCATTATTAATTGTTATTTGACTTTGTAATTTTGTATGACACTAGCGGCCCAACCCCGCTTCGCGCGGGTCCTACTATCTCGCTAACAACGAAAGGCTCCCTTTTCCCCAATTTTCCTCTCTACTTTTCTAACATTTTCTTTCATAAGAACCTTCTCCTTACAATAACAAACACAACCAAAAAGGAATTAGCAAAATTGTTCCAGGCGTTGTTGAGTTATGCGCTTACCAACATATTTTGCGATCCATTTTTATATATAAGAAGATGTACCCCTTAATTTATTTGACATTTTCATTGGATCTAACTATATTTAATTTGTAATAATATACATATACCTATTAACATTAATTTAATTAATTAGTGTATAAAAGTTGACATAGGTAATAAAAAATTTCATTGAATAAGATAATTTGGAAAAAAAGTATGGAGGAGGTATGCCGCAGTGATACCACGATCTCACAGAAAACCGGCGTGAAACAATCACAGCGTTTCGCCGTGTGAATGAGGTCACCTAAGGCCTAATTCTTCCCCTTTCCCTAATCCCTCTCCAATCCTGAGATCGGCGACGCACTCGTAAATCCTCCGTTGTTGCGGGTGTGCTTATCATCAGCTATTGCTTGCCATCAGGTAATACGTATGCACATTTTGCCGTCCTATTACAGAAAAAAACAAGTACTCCTACTTTATTTTATGTTTTTATGTAATTATCAATAATTGAACTCTACCGATTTTCTTCACTTGCCGGATCGTTGGGACATAATAGATTTGAACTGATGACTGGTAACCGCACTTTTACAGCAAAATGCGTTAGATTCATCGTGTATTCAGTTCGTTGTCGTAAGTTTTATGTGTTAGTTATCATTCAAAATCACATTAAGTGTTATTTTTAATTTAATTAATGGAAGTACTATTGTATCATTTTTTTTTTTTTTCTGTACAACTTAAGTATTAACGTTCCACTACTACATGAAATTACATATTATATAATATATATAATTAAATTACAAATTAAGTATTATATAAATAAATAAATTATAACTTACATATTATATATTATATGATTATATATTATATACTTATGTCTGCAATCATTACCATTCTATCAGCCTTGCTAAACTTTTCCCCTTTTCTTCTCTCTTTTTTTTTTCTTTGCGCGGTTGGAATCATCATCGAAGTCTTGAAATATCACGAATAGGTTTCTGGTACCTCTTAGGGGCCTTAACTAAGTATTCTGAGTCACTTCAGTCAATAATAAACGTTGATATTCATATATCGGTAAGTATCATTTCATAGGCGAAGTTATCTGCTGATACGTTCACAATGAGATTACATTGATAACAGAGAGTCGATCATACAAAATTGCCGAAAGAGGTATCTAAAGTTCACAGAAATATTTTCTCTATACATTGTATTGTATTATATTGTATGAAAACGTTATATGTATGTATTTGTCATCAACTTGCGTTTAAATGTGTCATATTGTAAAGTTTCAATGTAAGGTAAAATGTTTATAAATCAATTAGTAATAATAGAATACGAGGAAAGAACATAAAGTCACAAAAAGCGTTTATTGTTTCAGATGGTCCTACTACATCGAATACCCACCGTAGCTACAATAATACTCTTGCTGGTGTTGCAACCTGCACTAGAAGCAAAGAAATCTAAAAAAGTGAGATGTCCAATAGGATTCCAGATAGCTTATTCCAATTTAAAAGGAGATTTAATATGCTACCGGTTGAAGGGTCCAGAGAAACTCACAGACAAATATGTAGGGTGCTCCGGTAACTTATACACATCGAAACTGTACAACAGTTTAAACTTAACAAAGTCTGAGTTAGTATTATGGACAGAGTACAAATCATTGTACCCTGGGGGACCCTTCATTGATTACTCCTTCACAAAATCAATAGGATCCCTTCTAGAAAGTACATTTGAAATTAATAATCCCCAACCAAGCATTGACGAAGAGCTATGCATAGTGATGGACCCCGTAAGTAACTTTACCACTGCAAGATGTGACGAAATGTACTATAGATACTGCTTAGTCCAACCATACGATGAACCAGACGATATGTCTAAAGAAGGTTGTGAAGATTTCAAAGATTCTTATAGATTTTGGTCTCCAAAATCAACTTGTTTGTCAGCAGCCACTGCCGTTGGCGGTGGTCCGGTAAGAGCAACCTGGAATCAGTCGAAGGAAATATGTGAGAAACGGGGAGGCACACTCCTGTACAACGGCTGGAGATATTCAAATAATCCAATATTACACGTCTTAGAATCATTTCCTAACTATCCACTGGGTATTACGTACGATCCTCAACGTCACATGAATATTGTGAGCGGAGGCACCACGGTGAGTTACATTTTTCCCACTTGTTTATCATGTCCATCAATGTTAGTTTGTCTTTGATCTTAGTAATGTCTATAAAAGCATTCAGCATTCATAAGTACCCCGAGTATAGTTGTGAATCAAAAATACGTCTTATCATTTTACATATACGTAGTTACATTTTTGAATTATTTTGATATCATTCCAAAGTGGTCTTGGTCATATAGTATTTAGCATCTAGTGTCGTTGAGTACTCAAATAATAATTTCACCGTTAGTGACCATCATATGCTGCTTTCGTTGTTTTAGAATGTTTTGTTTTTAATAGCTATTGGACTGTGGTGGCTGGTTTCCATTTGTACCTCCTTCGAACAGAAAAACTCTGTTTGAGCTCGAAACATCTCCAGAATTGTGCTGTCACAAGTCATCGCGATGGCTTTCGCAACCCGTATACCGGGATGTGTTAGTGTTGGTGGGAACTCTTTCAAATTCTCTTTCATTTAGTAGTCACTATGATTCCTGCATGGACGAAATTTGAAATGTATTGCTTTGCTTTTTACACGTAATCCTTTACATTTAAGGCTTCATCAGTCGCATGTTGTTTTTTGCCTTCATTGTTATTGCGCTCTAAGTCGATTTATATTTGTTAGTGTTAACGTGACCTGTTTTAACTTATACTTTGTTAAAAAAATGTCAAATTGTAGCGCTCTGCATAAATATTATTCTTAAAGCATGTTAATGTTTTATGTGTTAACCAACATTAAAAATGTGACCTTTTTAATTTTGCACGTTTTTAAGCTAAGCAGTTTTATATTTATTTTTTTATTATTAAATAGGAACCACCCACCTCGTGGCACTTGGATGAAGATTTTAAAATGATGGGAGGAAATGAAACCTCTTTTGGTGCAGTAAAGAACGATTTGTGGCAATTGGTTAACAGTTCTTATATATTCTATGACGTCATATGCGAGAAGAATGTTGAATTGAAAAGAGTTAATTTAGTGGTTAGCGCGGACGAGTAAGTAAAACTTCACATGACATGTCTTTTTAAATAATTTGATGAATTTTATTTTGCAGAAATTTTTCTTTTAATTTAAATTTTAACTATTATTTTTTCAGTCAAAACAAGTTAATATTGACTGTAACTGATAAAGTAGACGAGGACAATATCTACTGCTTCACGGATTCTGAGACATATTTGCCAACGTCTGTTAAATTTAGTTCCGATGGTGTTCACAACAAAATGTCGACCTACGTCCTCAAGCCTAATGGAGATGGGTATTATTGGTGTGTCCACATTGATTCGAAACGGTACCAAGTGTCAGAGTCAAACAAAGCTCTCTGGGTGAGAGAGGAAGAATCCCTCCGATACAATTATGCCGTCAAACTTGTACTGGACAAGGAATACACGTTTGACAATCTAGAAAGACTGAAGAAGAATTGGGAAAAGAAGTTAAAAGCATACATATTTTATTCAACCAATTATTATAAGATTAATGGTGGAACTGAAGTAACTCAAGATCCAAAGATATTTGAAGATATCTTGTTTGCTTTCAAAACTGCTTATCCAGATTTGAATCCTACTAAAGAGAAAGACGTTTTTTACGGAATGAAGTTAAAGAAAGTGTTTTTAGATAAGAAAACTCTTTTGATACACTTGCAACTGAATCCAAAGATGCTACCGGTGCAGCCAGGGACCTGGGAAGGCCTTCAAATTGTTTACATGAAACCTGTTTACTATTGTAATGCTGATAGTCATGAATTTTGTAAGTACTTCTTTATTTCACTAATATTTTGTGGTTTTGTGTAATATTACAAGTATGGGAGAGCTATGATGCTGGAGGGCCGGCTCGACTGGAGTGATACCACGGCCTCACAGAATACTGGCGTGAAGCAATACTTACGCTGTGTTTCGTCCTGTGAGTGAGGTTATATGAGGCCCAAACCCTCCCCCCATTATCTTTATATCTACCCTATTCATAAATCCATAACCCACAAGACGCCGACAACGCACTCGTAGTTACTCGTAGTTCAAAATATCGGGTATCAGATTTATTATTACAAAGTTTTACTAGTCATGTATTTTTAAGTAACAAAAATTGTATAGTGTAATTCAGTAATTGAATCTGTTTTCTTGCTTTTTGCACCAACAAGTCGCTTATCTCTGCTTCTCCACGGCTGGTAGAGAATGTATAAGGCATTAGGTCCTTCTAACGTGCATGAAAAATTAAACAAAAATAAGCTAGAATTTATCTCGCTCATAAAGTTTGGCATAACCACTGACAAAATTAGTAGCTATTTACCCTCAACCGTCATCTCCCCTATTTTTTTTGAAAACGTTCTCCCTCACTGGGATTTTCTCCTGTGTCGTGGGTGCGGTTATAAACATACAATTTCAAATGCACATGACACCCAGATCCGAAACAACAATTTGTGAGTCACCCAAAGAGTTGTTCCGTGGTGGGAACGAACCCGCGACACGTTGCACGGCAGGCAGTTGCCCAGTCACCGCACCAACCGTGCAGTTATATAATGAAACAGTCGGTATCCTATTACAGCAAACGCTATCATAATTATCTGATTAGTCTGCACTTGAATGTATCCCGGTCACCTAATTAGTCTCATTTATATCCAAGTGCAGAGGTTAAACATCCAGACAGACGGTCACTACTTGTAATAATACATCTACAGTTTTGTATGTCTATGGCAGTAGTTTTATAACACGAATGCCAATAATTGTTACAAAAAAGGTGACTTTTTAATTTCTTTTAATACGAAAATATTATTAACATTTTTTTTGTACTTTCTGATCACTCAAATCCAAAAGATTATTTTATTTATAGAAGGCTTTACAGACTAATAAAAAGATGTTTATAAAAAATTTTAGTATGATCAAATCGCTAATTCAAGCCTACACAAGTAAAACCAATAAAATACTTTATTACTTTCTTTAAATTTTAGATTTTTAACCTACATACCTACAGTAAATAAGTTACGTGTCGAAAATAATGGCTTAGTTCAATCAATGCGTTGCAAAGTTCCCTAGTAGAGATTCGGTACATTTGACCGATTGTTTTATTTTTTCACTTTTTACCCTAGTTACCTGTAGTATCCGACCTGTTGCAATGTCACAACAGTTAGGTAATTAACTCATCAATTAAAGATAATATCATTCATTGTTGACGGTAATACTTGTAAATTAAAATTCTTTTATGTCCACATTGTCATGTTTAAGTAGGCAGAAGATTGGACTTCAATGTAATTAAAAGGTCAGGTTGAGGGCAATTATTTCACTTGTATAGTGATAAGTATAAGACTAGGGACTATGAAGGTTTGTTAAGGGCAACTTGCTACAAGCAAAAAAAAAAATGTATTATTGATAAAAGACTACCTAAGCTATTATAGGTTGGTCATTATAAGTGTGGGTGAGCCAAGCTTCGGCAGGAACGGGTCGGCTCAAACGGAGTGATACCACACAGAAAATCGGCTTGAAACAATCACAGCGTTGTTGTTTGCCCGTGTGAGTGAGGTTACCGGAAGCCAAATTCCTGTCCCTCTCCTATCCTTTCCCAATCCTTAAATATCCGATAAAAAGAAACCCTTATCCCTAAAAGTTGGGCAACGCATTCGTAACTCCTTTGATGTTGCGGGTGTCCATGGGCGGCGCCGATTACTTACCATCAGGTAATCCGCCTGCTCGTTTGCCGACTAATACCAGAAAAACGGTTCTTTTTAAATTTCAACGCAAGTACTGACTATAAGACTGAAGAAGTTTCTTTTTGTAAAAATGTTTCCTTTTTTGACGAAGGTAACTTAACCTTTAAGAGTGTAGCGTAACCTTTAAGAGTAAAGAACAAACTGTGATTTATAACGAAAATTATATTTCAGTGGAATCAATAACAGTTCAATGTCGGATCCACACTTGTATTGGTAACTTCAATGATGGCGTGCAAGTGGTGACCACGATGGATGATGAATGCATAATGTCTACCAAGCTGCCGACGTTGTACCGAAGCCAAGAACCTCAACAGAATGTCACCACCCCTGTCGACGTACACAACACTACAGCCGAATGCAGTGTAAATGTAAGTACATTTGTTAGTAATTAAATTATTTGGTATGCTTTTAAGAAAATAAAGATTAACTTATTACAGAGACAGTAGCTATTGTTCGTCGTGTATCTTGTATTAATTGGTCGGTTCAGTATCTAACCGTTGATTTTTCAAGGGATAGGGCGATAACGAGCCTTTATGCACATCAACAATGAAACAACGAATTTATTTTTATAAATAAGCCATTAATTTTTTGCACGACATAATTAGATAAATTAGGAACTAGATGAAGCCACCATTTCAATTCAGAGTAAATAGTAGCTCTGAGAAGAAATGCCGAAAGAAACTCAAAGCGCAGTCTCTTTTAAAGACCATTGCTAATCACTGATGGTAAACGTGGCCATGGACATCTACAACACCTGATTAGTAGCAAAAGCTTTGCAGGCCTTTGAGGATAAGGGATTTGGGGATTAGGAAACGTCTACTGAGGGGTAAGGGGAAGGTCCTAAGTAGCCCTACTCACACATCCAAACATTAGCTACTGTCTTAGTATTGAATCAATTCTGATTTTCGCACCTGCATACCAAATAGGCCAGCTGACTGTACATTACAGGTATAACTCATTGCATGTTCTTCATCAGCTCAGTATTGTTCTGGGCGCCAAAACTGCTTTTACTAAATACCCGTAATACTCTTTGAACAGAGATGCAATATTTTTAACAGTCCATGGTACAATGCTCTTAATCGACAGAGCCATTAAGGGTGAAAATAGCTTTGATTTTTTTTACAGAATTTGATTATAAGCATTTAGTTACCTACATGTGTGTAAAATGGCATTATACAACATCAATTCTGATTAAAACTGTTCCCTTGTCGAGGGCTATCAGTTTCTTCTGTTAGCAAAAACAATTACTTTGTTAATATTGTTTGCTAAAAAAAGATCTAATTACATTTCATAATATACCATAAATGAGAAGCAATCAAAATAGTTGAACAAAAGAAAATAAAAGATTATTATTGAAGAAATTTTTATTATAACTTCCGTGAGACATTCTAAATTAATTATTATGTTTTCGGCTTACTCACGTAATGATTTGACGATATACTCGACTAGTTTCAAGCCATGCTAGAGGCCCATATTCATGAGCAGTATTCCGCGACACGCGACTCGGCGACTGTCGCGCTGCTACTGCTAATACTTTAAGTTATGTGTATCTAACACAAATTACTGTAAACTAATAACACTTAACATTTGCTCAGCACAAGCTAATTGACTAACATTTTAGTGTACCTCAAAACATGTGGACGAGGAAACAAGCAGTTCAGAAGAAAATACACCTTTATTATCATCTACGCCTGTCCCTGATAACTCTACAACCACAACGGAATTTATACCCGTTACTACTCCCGGCCACGTGACGTTTGTGACCATGCCGTTTGAGACGATAAGAACGGAGACGCCAATTATTACAACAATGGCACCCACCACGACTACTGTGACGACTCCACCACCGCCTCCACCTCCTCCAACGACCACTCTACCAACAACGCTGGCAGTAAGTCTCGCTTGATTGTGGATGTCCTGTCTTCTTGTAGCTGTATATAAGAATCATAGTTTGGCATCCACGTTGTAGGAAAAGTTGTTTTTGTTAAGGACAGTGTGACCTATAACGAGCATTTTATTTCTTATATCGCGTTGAATGTTTATATAGTAATGTTTCGAACTTTTTTCTTATTCTATATTGCGTTGATTTTTACCAACTAATGTTCAGAATTTAGTTTAGTTGTGTGATTGCATACTTATACCTAGATATTTTTAACCAATTAATGTTCAATAAATTAATTATTTAGTATCAATAATCCACGTGTCAATTCCTTCTCTAATCGTCGTTGAAAGTTGTAGAATTAATATACAAGTAGAGAAAAGATATTTACCTTGCTTTTTTATCGGCACTTATTTGTAAAATTTGAAACAAATTGTAACGGCGACTCTTTGTTTGAAAGTAAAAAATTAAAATGTGAAATTTCTTTGGAGACATAAAGTCTTCAAAATCGCTCTTTCTACACGAAAGGTCATTAGACAAATTTGTTATTGTATTTTTATTGCTAAAACTACCCCTACGTAACAATTTGGTTTCGAAAGTTTTGCTTAGTATGGGTTTAGTAACCCATTAACTCTGAGTATGGATTAGAAAAACTTAATGAAGGAAGAAAAGAAGATAAAGTGGTATATAGGTTTAATTGTATGTAACACTGCATGCGCCATTGTCATGAAACTTACATTAAATCTGTCTAACTATACCTATATGTATGTGCATAAATGTTTCTAACAATAACAATATATTTTAACAAAACAATATTCGTTATTACAATACTTTTATCTATATTCCAGCCTGAAGATCAACTACAACAAGTGATAAATGATTTGGATAATCTAATCAATAGTGAATCGTCGGTGCCTGTTTCAGTCGAAGAAATTAGTACAGCATTCGATCAGGTAAATACATTTTTTTAATAATGTAATAAGTCGGCAAACGAGCAGACGGATTACCTGATGGTAAGCAATCAACGCCGCCCATGGACACCCGCAACGGAGGAGTTACGAGTGCGTTGCCGACCTTTTAAGGATTAGGGATTTGGAGATTTAGGGATTGGGGAAGGGTCCGGGAAGGGGAAGGATTGGGCCTCCGGTAACCTCACTCACACGGCGAAACACAACGCTGTGGTTGTTTCACGCCGGTTTGCTGTGAGGCCGTGGTATCACTCCGGTCGAGCCGACCCATTCGTGCTGAAGCATGGCTCTCCCACACATACATTATTACTTACAGTTTCTTTTATAGATATATCTCTTTGTCAGTGCCATCGAAATAACAACCATATACCTACATGTGTAGGGTTTATAGCAAACTTTGGATTTTGATATTGTCAAAACTGCTTTGTAATTTATTCAATTATTAGGACCTAGCCTGTTTAATCAATTATATTGCAGTACTACACTGTTTTGTGTACAATGTTTATTTTATTTGTTTATGAAGTCATCCAATAGTATGAATGATGACATGCTGCATTATTTAGGAAATATAATTATTTTCTAATTCAATAAGCCGATCGAATCCTAGTAGCTTTCAATGCGCTTACCTAATTTCATATTTGATTTTCATTGTAATGATCTAATCCTTTCAATATTGCTTTTCATCATATTATTATTTTAGCAAATCTAATTAATAATAAACAATATTGCAGTTTCATTCTTAGGATAGGCTTACCTACATTATTCAGGATTTGGCTTCTGAGCATCGGCATTTAGCTTAGAATTGTTGTACTAATCTATCGTATCATGCTCGTCTCCCATTAATCATCAGCCCAGAAGAGGCCACTGCTGAAAAAGGCTTCTTCTGATACGGAGACCCATGGTGGGTTCAATGCTTCAATATAGGTCCAATCATACCAATGGAACGTATATATAAGCGAGACACAATGTATTTTCTAATTTCTTTTATACAAACACATAAGAGGTTCACTATGTTTACTCAAACTTATAATTTCCAAATAAGTACAGGTTTCATATGACACTGAAAAAGCACACTGGTATTTGCCAAGTTTCGAAGATGTATAAAAAAACACTATAAATTCGTCCCTGAATTAAAAAGATTTTTAAGGTAACTGGAAAGCAAGACAGATAGCGCGCACCACTGCATCATTCAAATGAAATAAAACATTCTTCACTAAAGCAAAAATAACTAGAAACACTTACCTAAGCAAAATTCACGAAATTTTCAGGTCGATGAACTGCTAGCAGAGAATCTAGAACTGAACATACCAGGAGAACTGCTGCATCTTCTGGATGGGATTGGAACCAGGCTGGACTTGGCTGGATCAGTGAACGCGACCACTATCAGGGACAATATAGCCTTGGTGGTGGCTCAAGCTGATTCTGAACAACCAGTTAAGGGTCTTAGGATTGCTGCAAGAGAAACCGATAACTTCACTAGCGATACTTTTGAGATTATCCGAGGTATGTATGAATTTTCTTTGGTAGGTTTAAAAGCCATATGATTATAAGTTACAGTATAACACCATAAGTTATCCGTGAGTCTATCAAGAAAATAATTTTGCCTTCTTATTTATGAATTGACACTATTTCATTTGATTATCATTGTTACTGCTGCTGTAATATGGTCATCTGCACGACTGCTGAACAAGAGGTTTCATGTTTGATTGCTGGATCGGGAATAGAAATGCTAATTTTTTTTCAGTATTAAAAATTTTCTGTAGCTAGTGTGGGTAGGCCGGTCTGAGGTTGTATGCAGTGTATAATAATAGAACACCTTGTATGAACTAGATTTTAGTTGTCTGCTCGTCTTACGAAAACATAATTAATTGATGGATAAATGACACAGTTTTACAAAAGTAGGTTAACTTGCGTGGAACAGACCTTTTTATGCAAACCAAAATGTCAAGGCAAGGCCTTTTGATTGCGGGTTGCGGGTCAAGCGCAATTATGTGCCACGGCCTCGGCCTGGAGCAGGATAAGGAACGGGGGGGTTTTTAGTATGTAAGAAGTTAGACTTCTGTCACCACTCCCAGAGCTAGAAAAGTCGTTCCGATTATTATCCCCCCCAAAAGATATTTTGATTATTTCGTGTCATAAATCATAGTTAAGTAGATTTGAGAGTAGTATTCGAAAAAAGTTTGTAACCGTAGAAATACGGAAGTATCATTTTACGTAAAAGCATTGAATGGATTTTGATGATAATTTACATATAGATAGATTATAATCTAGAATAGGTTACCTTTTCATCTACTAGAAGCTAACGGAGAATATTTTATAGAACCAAATAAATAACACAGAAGCAGTTTTTTTTTTATTTTCTGTACCTAAAACTTTAACACTCGATTTGATAGGTACGTGATGACGCACGACATTGAACGCAACGCCGAACTAATCAGAATCAGCAGTGACATGTGCGCGATAATTGGTTCTTTCATATAATGGACGTGGGAATGATAAGTAGCAAGGGAATAAGAAATCGGTACTTTGTAGATTAGTTTTTATTTCATAGTTCGAGGGTCCTAGTTATGTTCTAATGCCAACTTTGACTAGCGGTATTCCTAATATGACCTATTAACCGTAAAGAAAGGAGCGTAGTCCTTCTTTAAGCGCCATCAACGCGCATGTGGACTCCTCTGGTGTGATATCTATACTAATATTATAAAGAGGTAAAATTTGCAAGCTTGTATGTTTGTAAGTTTGTATGTAGGGGGTAATCTTTGGAACCGCTCTGGTCGTATTAGCCCATGTTATTCCAGATTGTAACCACTCTATCGCAATTTTAATCAAAATCCGTCCATGATCTAGTTTTTAGATGAAAGAACTCCTGCTAATTTTGTACTACTGATCATGGGCAGGCCACGTCGTCGCTCGAAAGACGGACGGTCGATGAGCCCAAAAAGTCCTAGAGTGGCGATCAAGGACCGGAAAACGTAGTGTGGGCAGGCCTCCCGCTAGATGGACCGACGACATGGTCAGAGTCGCGGGGAGCCAATGGATGCAGGTGGCAACTTGTCGTTCGAAGTGGAGAGCTAAGGGGGAGGCCTTTGTCCAGCAGTGGACGTCTTCCGGCTGATGATGATGATGATGATGATCATGCGATTATACTGAAAAACTTTCATGTTTATATTTTTTATTACATTATCAATTATATTCCATTCAGAAGTCAAACTGACTTTCAGAAATTGACTTCTTTATGACAATACTGGAACAAACAACATGACAAAATACTTTATAAATATAAAATTTACAGATCGAGTTGACTCGTCGAATCTTCAAGCGGACAACAGTGAGGTGGTTGTGAAGCTGCCAGACTCAGTCAGCGCGACATCTCGTCGTATTAGCTTCGTGGTGTTCCGCAATGACCGCGCCTTCCACGCGGCGCCCACCAACGAGTACCGCGTTAACAGCAGAGTGCTCAGCATCAATGTTGAGAATGTCACCGAGTTTGAGCGTGGAGAGGTAAGTGTTTACAGTATTTTCCTTATCTTAAATAAAAATAAGTTAAAGATTTGCTCTTTATGAACAGTAAAAGTGTTTCACCAATCCAATGGTCTTCGATGTCATATTAAAATATTTTACGAAATTTTAAAATATTTTATAAAAACCTTAATCTTTCGAAAATAAAAAACCAAAATAATTTGTAAAAAACAGGCTTTTTTACAGATTTTTGTATCAATTCTTTTGTAATATAAAACAAATAATAATGCATGTAATAGTAAATAATTAATAATGCAGATTAAAACAAATTATGAACTGACATCGGACTCAATCTGATTTATATAACATGTGAGGGAAATTCCAGTGTAAAGTATATTTTCCATTATATTCTAACGTAAATATAGTAGGACACTTACCGAGTCTTCACTATTTAAATAAAAATAAAAGACAGTTATTACACCCAAAATTGTTTAATAACCAACTTTATGAATTTTTCAGACTGTGGATCTGCACTTCAGTTCCCTGACTGGCAGCCCCGAGAGGAATGCAAGTCGTTCGTGTGCATACTGGGTGTTTGCAGAAAATGGCAAGGGGTACTGGTCACAGAAGGGCTGCACCTTCATCCGCGCCTCGCGACGTGGGATGCTGGATACGTGTCGCTGCACTCATCTCACCCATTTCGCCGAAGTACTCATACCGAGGGAGGTCTTCTCCGAGGCTCACGAACAAGCCCTCGAAATCATTTCTGTCGTAGGCTGCTGTCTGTCCATGCTAGGTGTCATTCTCGTTGGTATCACTGCAGTTCTCTTCAGGTCTTGGCGACGAGACTTCAACAATAAGATATGGCTGCAGCTCTGCATTGCCATACTACTTTTGATCACCTGTTTCTTAATCGCAGTGTTTGTAAAATTCGATAACTACGGCTTCGCTTGCGTGCTGGTGGGAGTGCTGATGCACTATTCTTTATTATCATCCTTCTGCTGGATGTTAGTGGCGGCCATCATATCGTACAGGAGACTAGTGATGGTGTTCACTCGCGACGCCTCCCACAAGTTGCTGCGAGCCTCTGCCTTCTCGTGGGGAGCTCCTTGTGCTATTGTCGGCATCCTTCTTTCAGTCGACCCGCGCTCTTACGCGGGACGCTTCGTAGAGAAAACCCCGACAGGAGCTTTCTGCTATCCTTCTGGCCTCAGTCTCTGGTTGGCCGTGTATGCTCCCATCGCGGTCATGCTGCTCGCGAACTGGACACTATTCATACTGATAGTTCGCTCCGTGTTTGCTTCTAGAAGGATCCAGAGGCACGGCGACTCTAATGAAGCCTTGCGCTGTGCCTCGGTTAGTTGTTTACTCGTGTTTATGTTCGGACTGCCCTGGGTGTTTGGTTTGTTTGCATACAATTTAGTATTAGCTTACTTATTTGCTTTAACAGCTACTTTCCAAGGGTTCGTGTTGTTCATGTTCTTTGTTGTCGGAAACAAAAAGACGCGCGATCTTTGGTTTAACAAGTTGAGGATCAAGCAGACTCGCAAGATCCCGGTTACCTCGTCTACGTATACGAACAGGAGCACGGCTCCTGGTGCACGAGGTGCCCCTCAAACATCTGTTGAGGCGAAAGTTTCCAAGCCCAAGTCTTTAGCGAGTTCAGACGACTCCAGATTTTCTTGACGAAAGCAAGTCAGGTCCTTCCAAACGGGCCGCTCGAGAAAAAGGTCTGGTTACATTCTTCCCAGAATAATAAGTAATGATTTTTAGGACCCACTCGGATGGGTTTGGCGATATCCTTCTTTAACTTTTGGGAATATGCATTTACATTCCAGGAGTTTTGCTTGTCTTTAAACTTTGATCAGAGTTCCTCTTGCATGGGTTGTTAATATAGCATTACAGGGCAGTAATTGGATGGTTTGAACTATGTAGCATGGAGTTGCCTAGTATTTAAACTATTGGAGAAGATTTGGAGGCGAGATTCAAGAGAGTTATGCAGTATACGTGAGTTTCTGTTATTATTTGCCAAGACTTTGCCACAACTGTTACTATCTACTAATTATTTTGTACGATTTAATTGTAGTAGATGATATTCTCCTGTTATTTAATTGTATTTAAATAATTATATAGTAAATACGAGCAGTTTAATTAGTAGATATTTATTTGTAAGTTTGTAAGTTCTTTTATAGAAATTACTTAAATTGTAATTGTAAAAACTATTTATTTTAGACTGTTACAATTATCATGGATTCATTTATCGTAGTCGTTTCATTAAGAATCATTAAGGAAATCTTAGCCAAAGTGTATTATTAAATTGTATTAGTAAACTTCACAAGCATGAGCCTGCTAGACACGGGACTATGTATCGTCAGGTTAATCTTAAGATGAAGAAGAACTTAGAATATAACTTATTTATTCCAAAATCCGACGATGTCAGTATTACAGTGTGTGGCAGTGTTCATGTATCACTTTCTAGTCTGTGTCTAAAATACGTTCTTTCACTATTTTTATATTCCTAAAAAAGATTCCTTGTATGTTGTAGAGAATTTAGTTTATCGGACGCAAAGGTAAGCATCAAAGATAGTTACCAAATATTTAATAATAATTTGCTAGTTTGATATTTCTAGTAGATGTATTGTAATATAGAACTTAAGACATTAAATATTATACACACAAGTTATGGGTGGCAAAAACTGACTAGAGCGCCCCTGCTGGCTGTTTGTGAAACTAAACTCGAAGAAAATCCTAAAATATTCGCAGAATTATATAAGTAATGGCTTAGTAGCCAAAAGATAATTTTGGAGTTTTGTTTTAGTCAAAGATAAAGTTGCCTTTATCTATAATAAAGGAACATATTTTATTTTTGATTTAACTAATAACTAATACGGGCTCACAGAAAACCAGCATGAAGCGTAGGTACTTACGTTGGGTTTTGTCGCGTGAGTGAGGTTATCAGGACCCAATCCTTCCACCATCCTCCATCCTCAAATCCCCTATTGCTAAATCCCTAGCAACCCACAATGGGCTGGCAAAGCTCCCGCAGTAGGTAATTTCTCTGTCAATTTTTTTTTTTACTTGCTATAAACTAGTGCTTGACTGCGATCCCACCTGATGGTCAGCAGCGATGCAATCGTTGATGGTAAGGCGCACTAGTTTATTAAGAGCCTATTCACTCTGGCCTTGAAGACACCTAAATTATATTCGGAAATATATTATAAATACACGAAATAGATATTGGTGAATTTTCCTAGTACCTAATCAGTATTCACCCCTCTTCCGTGTCTATTCACCCCGTTTTACGGTATTATGAATGTCCATGGGCGGCGCCGATTGCTTGCCATCAGGTAATCCGTCTGCTCGTTTGCTAACCTTTGCACAAAAAAGATAATATATCGGGCAAAGGCGTCTTCGAGTTTCAGTTTCACATTTATATTAAAAATATTTGTATAACAATTACAGTTCAGTAGGAAGCTCTTCAGTCAGTGCTACGAAATATCTGTAAATATTAATAATAAATTGTATATAAAAAAAAGAACAAAGTAGTTAAGAAAATACGATCACAAGACTTTATTTTGAACCTTATGAGTTAAAAATAACGCGTAAATCAACGATATATAGCTTGCACAATTTTCTTGCAGATTTTGAAAGCTCGAATACAGCGCTTACCTAATCTGTTTCGGCTTAATGTACTATTTTTGTAGTTAATATTTTCAGAGAGGCATTTATTATAAACCATGAAGTTATTTAATAAATTATTTTAAGATTAATATTTCGAGTTTTATTTTTATTGTATTCAACTCTAAAGAAAAACAAATGATTTCCTTATTTATTTATTTATCTATTACTCAGCATGGGGCACCGTCTTATTTAGATAATAATATTTATGGATTTAATTCGTCGCCGGTTTCAGGTCTAATAAAATTTGACCACAAATCACTGTGATAGGAAAGTGTAGAGCTGGACTTGTCCCAGTCCGCTTGTTAATCGTGGGATACCTCGAAATTGAGTTAGACACAAATTGGCTCTTTATGTGTCATACAAAATAGCTGACGCCGTTTGGCTGGCCATTATCGGTGCAGACCATGGGGCTCTTGAAAACTAAATTATTTATAAAAATTTGTTTCAGAGGTACAAGATATATTTGTTTAAGAATTAATGTGTTGCCTCCTTGGAACTGACTAGTTCATTATTATTTTCTTGCTTGCTTTAACAGGGTAAGTATATTTATACTCGTATTTAAAATACAAAAATAGTCTCCTTACACGGGTATGTCACCCATTCCGTATGAATCGATATTTCAACTTATTGCCACTCGAGCGGCTATCGAGAACCTTCACGATATTATTAATTAGCGATATAATCTATTACATGCATCCTTTGTGTGTGGTGGCGGCGGCTCGCTCAAGCGCCTACCAACACGGAGGCTATGAGTGCATAAATAGATCGTAACCATGGTAACGCCCCGTTCGCTAAATAAACACGCTTCATTGAACGTCGCCATGACAATGACTTTCATTCCGTAACTGTCAGCCGAGGCGATAGCACAAAATGTTCTGGGGCATCAGTCCTGCTATTGATTTGCAAGAAGAGTACCTAAAATATGGTGACAAGAATGCCTACGAACTCAACTTTCTTGTTATCGGAGGCTGCGATGGAAGGCATCTTCTCAAAACGTTGACTCAAGCTTACCGACATACCAGGCGCTACATGAACTTGTTCGTGGTCGACGGGTGTCCGGAGCTGGTGGCGAGACAACTCCTCCTCACGTCTCTGGCACTGGAGAAGACAACACGATGTGGCCTATTGGAGAAGACACGTCGTTACCTAGAAGTTTACGGCAACTTGCTGCTGCGACCCTCCACATCGAGATATCTGATCGCGAAAGCTCGTCAACTAGTCGGCATGGTTACTAACCCTGAGTACATGAACTGTCTTCTGCCCTGTGTCTCCATTGAGCAGATGAAGTATCGTGAACGTGATTATATGGAAAATTTAATGAACTTCTGGACTACGGGGAACACTAATCAGTTCAATGCTTGCGAGCTCTGGGAACACCGCTTGAGACATAGTCTCGGTGTGAGGTACGACACTAGAATGGGTGTTTACGACTGGGATTATCACATGAGGATGAAGGAAATCGGAAGTCAGATTTGTTATCCGGAATACAAACATTTTCGTGAGCACGGCGTGGCCTTTACATGGCTGGAAACAGAGGTATGTAGGCCGAACGTTAGCCTCGCAGCTGGTGTCTATAAGTGCGGTGACAGATATCTTCACAGAGGTTACTTAGGTGACATAGTGACGTCACCCTACATAGGGTATGGACTGAACTGCGAAGACGCTGATATGTTGAAGTCTTCCCATGGCGTCAATTTTAAACGTGCGACGGACATTGCAGAGAGAAATGTAATGAGAATGCTTTACGAGATAGAAAATCGTCAAGAGTTTGACGCTGCTGCACTGAACTTAGAGACGGAAAAAAACTTGGGGATGGTAGTGCTAGCTCAGGTGGATGCAAAGATATCTGAGTGTGGTCCCGAGGCACCTCTGCTCTTGCGTGAGGATCGTGATACTTACATCAATGTGGATTACGGGAAGGTTCACTTCTTGTCTCTGTCTGCGTTGGAACATTATCCTCATAAACCGCAGTTTCAGGGCCTGTTTCACGGTGTATTTGTGGGTCATAACATGTTACCTCGCGTGAAGCCCAGCGTGTGGTCAATGGCACGTGATGATGCAGTCGTTCTCATGGAGTCGCGAAAGTTTTTGGTGGAACAGAAGAGGGATGATGTAAAGGCGTTTGGTGATCAGATCCATCAAGCCGCCACAGCCGCTCAGTGTGAGAAGATCGCCAGTTTCGATGCTCAGAAAGATGATTTTGCAAGGTTTCTGATCAGGCGTAGAAGTGAGAGTACTGATACTAATATTTCTTTCTAGTTATTTGTTTTTAATTGGTCCTAATTCTTCCATATCCTATCTTTAATTTATATTTTTGAGTAATAAATATATAGTTTTACAATTAAATATATAAGTAAAAAGTATTGATGTTTTATTTAAATGTAATGGTATATCTGCATCTGTTCAAAGGACTGTAACTTATTGCTCCATTATGCAACAATTAGTTTGTTTTGCCAGCCCAAGACCCAGAATTTGAATCCAGGATTTTGTGGCTTGACTTTTGAACTAGTGATTAATGAATTAACAATATAGGCAGCATGTAGTTAATCCTGTCGGTGTTGCGGGTACGAACCCGCAACACCGACAGGATTAACTACATGCATGAAGACCTCGTGGTCTTCGAGCTAAAATGGAGAGGTTGGTTGTAGGTATCAAGTAACAGGACAGAAGTAATATGATGATATTCTTCTTTCAAAAAATTAAGTATTGTATTGGAAGATTCCACCTTTATTCGTGATAAATCTGGTTAGTTTCATTTCCATATTAAAGGAAATGTATTAATTCTCCATTGCTCACATTTTTTTTTCAAAATCTGATCTTAGTATCTACCCTTCTGAAGTACAAATACTATTAGTAGGTATTTATGTTATACGAACCTCTGTTTGTCTGAAAGCTATGTGGTATTTTCTTTTTAATATTAAATAATTGTGGTAGTATCACAAGTAGATAACACCTGTATATTATTCGGGAGACTTAAAAAATATAAAAACTAAAATAAATAAAACAACGTTTAAAATTTGTGTTCATCTATTTTTTCATTAATAATATGTTACATTCATTTAGTAAATCATATAGCAAATATATTTACAAGGACAAAATCAAACGGAAAAATTACAACGTCTTAACGTTTTTTTTTTTCGTTTAAAATTCGTATTTTTATATTATATAATATCACTTAACTTTAACATTTCTAAATCAGTAGTTCGGTAGTGGTGAACGGTTGCTACGAATCGTCGCAACTTCGCGATAGAGGACACGACACTTCTATTGAGCCTCTTTGCTTGTGCGCATCCACTTTATTAAGTACAAAACATTCAACATCCAGTGACACGATAAATATAACTGTTCAATACATACAATGCTTACTGCTGGCCTCGCGTCGCTGTGCTGCGCCGACTGGTCGCTACTCGTCGGTAGAACAGACGAACAGTAGGTACCCAGCACTAGCTCGCACGACACAGCGCTGCGGAACGTCAAGTGTCCCACAGTTGACATTGCGCAGCTCCGGAGGTGCGACGTCACAGCACAGCGCGCTCGCCACGTCCCATACATTAGTTACGAGAATTCGTACCGAGAACAGAGCACTACCGTGAGCAATGGCGGCGTCGGTCGCCGGTCGCAATTGACGAGTTAGGCCGAGGCATGGCGCCCCCGGCCGCCGCAGCAGTCGCGACGCCTACTGGGTGCGGTGCGCGGGCCCCGCCCTGCAGTGCTCCGCCCGCGGGCCGCACTGCAGCCGCCCGGTACCACACCCAGTCACAGAGTATTGCAAAAACATCTACCCTGTACGTGTTCATAGTTCCTATTTAGACTTACTTAAGGTTTAACGATTATCTAGGAGAATAATTACGAAAACAGGGCGCGCAGCCTCACAGCGCCAGTGAACATCGTACCAGTGTGACGCAACCATACGCGGCCGCTCCACTCAATTATTCAATAATTTAACTGTAAGTTAACTACATAATGTGTTTATATTCCGTGGCCGGGCCACCTAGCCTAGCGTAAACGCGAATCAAACGATAACTTCCTAAATTGTCACAATAAAATAAACTTGAAAACTATAACATATTAACATACATTCTCTATCTGTATCGGCATAAATTCGTTTAAGTCAATACATAATAATAATAATAGATATTCTGATAAATCGAAATAACTTTTATTCACATTTAATTAAGTTTTAGAATATGTGTACGTTAAGGGCTAATTAAATTATTTCTGTATTTGTGCACGGTGAGACGAGATCGAGAGCTGAACTGTCTAGGGAACTAACTGATGACGACGCGAACTCAACGGACAACACATTAGTACAATAATATGATACGAGATGTGACCTCTTTGGTGTTCCTTCAAGTCTAGATCGTGTCAAGATCGTAATCGTTAACGTAGAACACGAAGTTGGGCGTATATTCGGAGAGGTGATTGGAGTATGAAAGCGATAGTTGTTGACTCTCCGGGGACGGTTGCGTGTCGCCCACCTCCTGACAGTGACGCGATGAGACGGACTCGGACTACGTGACAACCAAACGATGGGGCAAATGATGACGTCGGGGCGCGACGCCGAGCTCTGCCTTCGCCTCTCCCGCTAACATCGTGGTACATTAAAGCTTCGCTTAAGAATTAGCTCAATTTGTTAATCGCCTATCTAATTTGCAAGCTACTTGAGCTTCGTCTGTCGGAAGTGAAACGAACTCGAGCTCGGCGCGTCGGGGGACCTCGGCACCGCACAGTTACACTTAACGCTACGTTCATACACTGAGTTACTTAGAGTTACTTTAGACATACAATCTGCCGCACCACCGCCAGGTGGCGGCACTCAAACGGATATATAGATATAAAGCGTATTGATCGGATGAAAGAATATAATCATATGAGACACGACAACGTAACAGATAGATCACCCTCCGGCGGCGCGGCAGGCAAACACTTCCAATCGACACTTACATTCGACGGTTACTCTAAATCGTTTATTAAGAGTACGTTACAAGTTCAGTCATATCGTTTATGTGCAATTAATATGTACGTCATAGGTCAATAATATTTACAAGTCACTGATTCGCTAACGATAACTACGTATTCACAAGCGGCGGCGCGCCGGCCGCGGCCGACGCCGGCCCTACGTCCGATCACTATACCTTTATTAGATTAACTACGCGTGAAGAGAATTATCGTGTTTCTTACTAACGGTTAAACTAGTCGACGTGCTTACCCTAACAGTGCAGACAGAGCTGGATACATCGATATCTAGTAGCCTAGGACGTGTGGGGTCGAGCGCCGCGCGCCGGCTGTGTCAGTGCGTGTACTCGGGGAAGGCGGCGGGCGGCGCCGGCGCCGGGCTGGCCGAGCTGGCGGGCGACGCCAGGTAGCCGCGCGCCGCCACCGCGGGGCCCACCGTCTCCTCACTCGCCCACCGGGCTAACTGTTGTTGAGCTTGAATAAATTCATCACTAGAAAATGATAGAGAAGAGGAACGGAGAGTCGAGGCGCCGCGGCCCCCGCGGGCCCCGAGGGCGCTCTGCGCGACCCTTGGGGCCCACTGCGGCCGCTGTGTGCCTATTTGTGTAGTTAAACAAACCATGGAAATGATTTTTGGACTTGACAAAAGCAACATACAGAATCTAAAGTACCTATTGCATTTTTCCCCACTCTAAATGTCTAGCAAAAAGCAATCCAACAATACTTATTGTTACATTGTCTGCTTGTAAACAACTATAGCTTATGACATATTTGAGTTCATTAATCTTTTTTGTTTTATTTTAATATTTCATTTATTTAAAATTTTAATAATGTTAGTGGTTTCTTTTCAAACAAAACCGACGTGAATAACTAACTCATCAATGTTGCTAACTATACTAGATGAGAGATAAGTATTCTGAAACAATACGTGAGTGAGCTATTGAAAGCTATTGCTGCGGCAAGCCTTAAAATACAGCCTTTGTGTTAAATTGAAGAAAATTTTGATGTTATTCCAAAAACCATTTTCACGACAAATAAAATCCATAATATGCAAATATGTTGAAATAATTTTGGATATGTAGTGTTGAGTCTTGAGTGCCAATGGGGAGCGAATGATCGACGAGAGTCGATTAGAACGAGAAGTAATGCTCACCTCTCACTGTCGGGAGCATCCCGAAGTCTTTCGGCGTCGGCGGTCTCATAGAGCGCGTCGTCGTCGGGCGGGGGGCGCGCGTGGCCCGCCAGGCCGGCGTGCGCGGCGTGCGGGGAGTGCGCGGCGTGCGCGGCGTGTGGAGCGTGCGGGGCGTGGGGCGCGTGCGGTGCGGGCATCGCGTGGCCGGCGTGCGGGGGCAGCGCCGCGCCCGCGCCGGCCGCCGCGCCGCCGAACAGCGGCCCGTGGTGCCGCCCGCTGCCGCGGAACCGAGGGTAGCCGAACCGAGACTCCTCTTCGCCACCGCCGATTCGCCCGCGACATCTACTATAACCAAATAAATTGTGACTTTATTTCTGTCTATCACTACCATATACGTAGGTTCTTAACGCGGTCTAGAAAAATAATTATGCCTACATTGCATCCAGCTTGGAAAGTTGCCGGTAATGTGATAAACCAACTTTCTTGGATTTAAACGTACGTAAAACACAAATCTCTCAATGGATGTTTCGAACAGTAGAGTTCAAAACACATTTTAATGGACTGGATCTACCGGAGTGAGGGTTTTGCAGAAAACCAGCCCCATTTTTATCCAACCTCTAAATCCCTAAAAGCCCTATCCCAAAAAGCCGGCAACGCACTTCCAACTCCTCTGGTCTATTCATAGGCGATGCCGATTGCTCACCATCAGGTAAACCATTTGCTCGTTTCCGCCGTATCACATAAAAAACGCTACTAATATTTTATTCTGAAGAAATTTCTTACGCGGCTGCTATATCTCCAGGTTCAATTCTATAGTGTCTATCGGCTTCTGTCTCTGACATTCTGATGTCTTCGGAGCCTGAGGGGCTCATGTGTCTACTGGAATGGTGCTCAAGTTGTCGGATGAGATCCTCGAGGTTGCGAATGCGGATTGGTCCACATTGTGGAGGTTCATCTTCCTCTTCATCGTTACGTTGGCGGCGAAGTTCAGTTTCATGGATCTTTTCAGCGGAGGGCGCTCGCTCTCGTTTATTATATTCATACTCTTGCAATGCGCGTAGATCACCGGAGCCGATCGCCACGCCCCCTGCGCCCGCGCTAGCACGTTGCGCCGCCGCAGTTTTTAGTGCTACGATTATGTTTTCGTGGTAGCCATTAAGGTCCTGGAATTGGTAATGATCGAATTTAGTTACAGTATTAAGTATTTAGGACAAGCGTGATTTATAATTATTCATAAACCTCAATTCTCATACAAGAAATTAGGATTGTTGGATAGTGAGTCAATAATTAGAAAAGCTCGTTGAACAGCGTGGATTCGTTTTTAAAAAAAGAAGACGCACGAAGATCAGTCTTTTTGAACTTATCATTAATTTTTTCTCACCTTAAACTTATATTCCATATCAGCGACCGCTCCAGCTGGCTCTTGTCCATCAGATTGGGAACCTGCTTCCAGCTGCTCAGACTGCGAGTCGTCCCCCCACTTGTCCTTGCCATCCACTGCGCCGTATCCATGTTTCTTTAGAATCCCCTTTTCTGGCAGTTTTGCCATCGAATTTTGAGCTACGTCGATAAATGCTATGTCTTCTTCACCTGTAATTTTTTAAGGTTACGTTATACTTAATATCATTGCTTTAATGTGTATGGATTTAGTAGAATCTGTACAAATTACAGTTGACAATTTAAAAACTAATCCAAATTGAAATTTGCTTACCCGAATGTGTGGGCTCGTCTTCACTGCCGGAGTGCACTCTTTTCATTTGTTTGTGATCTCTGCAATAAGGACAACGCAATCACGTTAGCGAAGTGATGCAACCAGTAAACATCGCTAAAGAATGATCCGAATGTGTTTCTGAGGTTTCCATGCAATTTCACTTTTATTACACTGACTTACACGTCTACTGAAGCGTGCATTTGCCTGGAAATCTGAGAAGATCAGACAATTATAATTCTAACGTTACTATACACAGAATTCATATTGCCTTTTTGATATAAAGTGCACTTACGGATATCTACTGGTACTGCCAGAGCCTGACATGTGGTTGCCATGTCTGAAGATCACGCGCTGGGAGTCTCCACGACTGTACATACAAATTGCTTTTAAAATTTGCCTACTAATTTATTTTAGTTTATGATTAGAACCAAAAATCCATTAGTGAAGTCAACGCGAATAATATCAACAATGATTTTAATTACCCAAAAAGCACTTGTTAATTGTTCATGTGATTCTGCTTTTGTAAATATAAAGCTTACATTATTTTACTTAAATTGCGAACGTCTCCAAATTTGGCTGTTCTTGTACGATAGGAAGAATTTGAGGTGCAAAGTGTGGTCTAAGTATGGACTATACTCTTTATTTCTATCAACCAAAATGTATAAAGAAAAAGCGTGTCTTTTGTGAGTGCTCTATCATGTTGTGAACACACAAATAAAAATTGCGTTTTGCTCAAAGACCTGTTCTAGTCCAAAGCGTACTGGGACTTAAGCTCAGTGTAATAAAAGCGAAAATCGTGTGAGCGGAAATAAACAGCGGTGCGCAGTCCAATCCACGCAAAGCTTTCGACATACCTTAAAAGATTTCTTTGAGTAGATGAGTTCCGTTTAAAAGAGGAAAGAAAATTTTAATTTGAGGATACATTTAGCGTAGGTACCCATTTATCTTGCATAACAAGAAACATGCCAGGTATTGACCACATTATTCGTTTTCGTTAAAAAGTTCAGCAACGTTTCAGAAATGGGTAGCTACGTAGACGGGTAAAGAAAAGAGTTTATTTATAAAAATAACGTTTAGTTGCTTTTTATTTTAGAAATAAAAACATAAAACGGATTTTATTCAAAGTACGCCTCAAGGGATTAATTATTTTAGTTATTAGACACCAAGAATTGCAGGGAATTAATTTAAAGAAGTAGACGTTTGGCTTTGAATTTAAAGGTGCCATTCGAAGCAGTTAATTTGCTTGGTTTGTTGGAGGAGTTAGATCTGACACGAATGACATCTTTAAATTATTTCCAAACGTCTTGTATTCTGGAGGCTCACCTGAACGTGTTGTTGAAGGAGTGCATCTTTCCTCCGTCCAGAGAAATGTCTTCTTGCGAGTTGTTAGAGGTGGTGGAGCCGGCTGCGAAACTCTTCGCAATCGGTTTCTTGACGTAAGGCGGGTCGTATTTCCGTGACGTACTCTTTTTCCTGAGGCAGGCGTGGCGTGGGGAACGCACACTCAGATCAATCGATAAAGTTTACGAAATCGGAGGACGGCGACGGCAACAGAAGCTGACGTCGTCGAGGGCCTCGAAACGAGGAATAGAAGATGATATTAAACCATTTCAATGGTGCCCACAATTTCAGACGAGTCAAAAATTATGGCAATATCGTTCTAGCGATAGAGTCAAGTTACGACATGTTCGGAAATACAAAGACTACTACTCTGCAAGATCACCTTTTATTCCTCAAAAATATTTCAAAATTTACTTGACAGCAAAGACTGGCGCTTTTGGATATTACAAGAACAAAGTACTTTTTTAAATTTTTGAATTGGACTTTAGAATCAACTTTTCGTTTCATTCCTCATGGGAATTAATGTTAAATGGAAATTAGTATCAAGAGATCGATCTTAGCTTAAAGTGTGTAGGCTCCTTCCAGTAAATAAAAGCGAGGGACAGCCAGGATACACGTATATGCGTTTTTGTTAAATTATAAACTTTCCGTTTAGGGAAACAAAAGGTAAGCATGGTTTGCTGGAAGGATCCTTGTCTTAAATGTAACATTAGGCGTTGCTAACTAGATAGACAGCTGCTTGAAAGAAGAATCCGTGCATCGCACATTCGCTTCTCGTGCAAAAGTTAATAGAATTTAGTGGTAAGTGGTAAGTGATTGGTGACGTTAGAGTCGAGCGATCTATATCTTCTCCGGTTTGATAGAACAGTACTGTACATACCTCGGCGTGGCACAACACCACGTACCGTGCGGAGCGGTCTCCGATCTGTAACTCGCGCGCAACATTATTCAACATCGGAAGATATAGACGCCACGGCCGGCCTCCGACCAAGAAAGGAAACGAAAACGAGTCACAGTTCACATAAGCCAATGCATACATCCAAGAGCCCAGAATCTTAAGGGTTTGAGTCGAGGTGTCTCGAGTACAACGAGGAAAGCCTTGTCGGCATGCAGCGAGGCGGTCGGACGGCGAGGCGGCTGGCCGCGCGACCCGGCCGCTCGCGGACACAGAACCACAGATCAAATGCAGTTGTGGCGCGCCAGCCAGGCCGACGCGCCACCCGCCAACTCTAACTCTACGACCACAAAGTAAACGACATAAAGAACGTATGTCCAAAAGGAAAAATAATAAAGTAAATGAAAACCAATCGCCGACGTAAAAACGAACAGAAACACCAACGCTAACGTCTAAAATAAACATACAAGTATACGAAGGTGACGATTTAAATTTCTTCTTAAAGACTACCTTTGGTCTGTTTTCTGCTCACTAACCTTAGGCACAGGGAGAAGTTTTTGTGTACTACGACTGACCTGTAGCAGAGAGCGCTCAGGGCAAATACTATGAATACCCCCCCTACCACAGACATGAGCACCGCCACGAGGAAAACCGTGTTCGAGCCGTGGTAGTTCTCTGCGCCCAAACAGAAGGGAGTGAGTGACGGCCGGCGCGATCGGTGACGTCACGGGGTGTGACGTCAGCGAGGCGGGCGGCCGGCGCCGGCGCCGCGCGGGCTCGCGGTCGGCGTACACGACACGACACGACACGACACGACACGACAGGCACGAGCGACACACACAGTGCGACAACACCGAGTTACCGGTCGTTACCTGAAGCAGTACGCCATCCAGGCGAACCCCACGAACACGGACAGCACGACCGCGAGCAACAATATCACCATGTTCATGGTGCTCATCTTATTCCCCTCGTGCTCACCTGCAAGAGAGGGGTCCCGCGCGTTAGTGCGCCGGCGCCGCCCGCCGCGTCGCGCCCTCCGAGCAATGCTCCGTGCAGCGGGACACCCGTGCCGCGCCCGTCTCACGTAAGTTGATGACTGCGCGCATTGCGTGTGCGAACAATGTAGGTACGGGACACCCAAATGGTGCTTATTACAATACAGTAAGTACTGGGGTTTACGTGACGTCATCATCTTACATTAGACTTGGGCATCTCTATATGTTTAATTTACTCGTATTCGTAACTTCCAAAATGCAATACTCGACGATATCGATGGCAACGCCTCTCAGCGTAATTTTGAAAGCAGTGCTCGGATGTTTGGCCAATTGTTACAGTTAAAGTAGGGGGAATATTAATAGAAACAGTACATAAACACCTGAAATCATAAACATGGATTATAGTAAAATTATACAAGTATTAGAAGTAGTAACAGTTTAGGGAGATAAAGGAAGAAAGGATGGGACAAGACAGATTTAGAGGAATACGTAAATATAAGAAGGAAATAGAAGACAAGTTAGCTCCACCTGAATTCGCCATTATCTTCACCGATTTTGTTTTTTCTTTCGGTTGTGTGGACTTGTAATACTTTTTTTATTGATAGGAACAGTTGGTTCAGTCTACAATAGGTACTACAATAGAAAATTATATTTACAAATATATTGACGGAACTAATTATCCGTAATATTTTAATGTCGAAAATATAAAATTGAGTTATATAACTTGTTTTACAAGCAACTGTTTGCACTCGATACTTTCAGAAGGATAAAAGTCACCCACTGATTGTAACCGAGTAGTGCATTCATATTATTTTATTCATTTGTGCAGTTGTTAATTGTTAAAACGGTTCATAAAACATTTTATCCATATTCGGCGTGGTGGCAACGTTACAAGAGAAACCCCCAAAAACTGAAAAAAGACAGTCAGTATATATAAATAGGTACATAGATACACAAATAATAATAGCAGAAAAAACAGAAGGAGGGCCAAATCATACAATAGGTTGAATTTTGCTTACGAACTAAATGTTATTATTATATAAAAAATCTGAAAATTAATCATTGAATTATTGAATTGAAACTTTTTACATTAAAGATCAGATTTTCATTATAATTTTGACAAATGTATTTAATACGGTAGTTTCCAACTAGTCAAATTCAATACTTTTATCCAAACGTCAAAAACGATACATTTCTATGAAATTTGTATGAAAAACTGAGCTATGACGTCATAACTATTTTGCGTCAAATAGCTTACTTATTTCTTAATAATTAGCTAAAAAAAATCTAAAAATTAGTATATCGATCGATTGATGAATAAAAGTATAGTTATTTTTCAATATTTTATTGTATTGAAACGTCGAAATAATTTATTTTTGACCTAGGAAACTACCCAATTATAGTTGTAACTTCTATAACCTTATTCTAAGCTTATGTTACTGGTTTCGACTCACCATACGGTGTTTCCTTCTTGGTCATGTTGTAGGCAGCTTTTGTGCTGTTGTCTGGAACGTAGGGAGTGGGGGAAGGGGGGAGTGCGTCGTGGTGCGAGCAGTCTGGACCTGTCCAGCCGCGGTTGCAGACGCACTTGTTCATGTTCGAACATACCTGGAATTAGTAAAGGAGATCTTGAGTCAACAGCCAAAATATGTTGCATTTTGCGTTTTCTGTAAAAATGTAGATTTGTATTGTAGTTGATAATGCTGCTAAGCAGTCAAAGATCGTCACGTATAAATAATTCGTTGGTGATTGGGCCGAATCTATTCAGTAATTTGATCAGTCTTTGCTGCTTGTATGTGTGGAAGGGCCATGCTTAAACACGACTGGGTCGGCTCGACTGGAGTGATACCACGATCGGAATCCTACGGCAACGCATTTTTAGGTAACTCGTTTGGCATTCCAAGTGTCCATGGGTGGGGCCGATTACTTACAATCAGGTTATTCGAATGCTCGTTTGCCCACCCATGCCATAATAAACCCAATCCCTATTGGATATCACAAGTATCTTATGGTCTAGTAAATAAATATTAATTTCACCTTTAATCATAATCGCAAAAGGACTTCTAACTGCAATCCAAAACTAATTAAAAGTAAAACCGTCATATCTAAGTACTTATTGCAATTACAAATCAACAAATTCGTTCGAAATCCGAATTCAAAGGCGTTCACACATCAATTCACAAAGCGATCAAATAAAACGTCTCTAAAGTTATCCCATTTGGCTTCCACAAACATAGTCAGTACCATTCGAAACTTACTGGCGTCGAATCAATTCTAGACTTAGAACAACTTCTCCTGATATTAAGGGAATTAATTTCGCGGTGGAATCGATTCGTATAACCTAACTGCCACAAATTGAGGACCCGTGGTTACTACCATTGGTATCCTATTTGTTCATGTGTGATTCCTTTACAAATGTTTACATTCCAATATTTTGGGAAATATCTGTGTTCTTTGAGTTCTGGGTAATTTCATTATTAATCTTTATAGCGAGAGAAGAACTCTTACATTGATGTATATAATATCATTGTAATTCCTAATCGTTCATCGGCATTGAGTAGCTAGATCTCGTATTTTATAGTTAACTAGCTTCCACCTGCGGCTTTGCCCACGTGGTATGTTGATAAAAAGTAGCCTATGTCCTAATCTGGAGTGTATCTTATGCCAGTGCCAAATTTCACCCAGATCCGTCCCACCGTTTGGCGTGATTGAGTAACAAACATCCAAAGATTGCAGCTTTCGCATTTCTAATATTAGTAGGATGGGACCTAAATCTAACGGTTATCGTTGTACCTACAATTAATTCACACAACATTGTAAAAAATCTACCGTATTTTCAGCAGTTCTTTACTATTATTACTCATACATGACCCAATCAAACAACGAGGCAGATAATATAATTGAGATTGCACCTGCCATATTTGTTTCAGTACCATTTCAAGGAAAATCGCGAAAACCTACACAATATTATGCATTTTAAATATATAATTAACAGAAATATTAAAAATGATAGATTAATTTTTGACTAATTAGTAGTTATTCCCGACAGGGCCCACAATGCTCCTAAGCTAATGTATGAGCCTATATGTACCCTACCACCTAAGTACGCTAGTACTATTATATATTCTGAGACCTAAGTTAACATTGTGGAATGCAATAATTATATTGAGTATTGAGTAGTCTAACACTATCGTCGTACACAAACGCAACCGAACCACTACATTGTGCACTTCCAAAAATACCTCCGAATTTCACCAATAAATAAATCACTTTACTTCCAAAGGATGCAAATGAACGAATTAGAAGCGACTTTGAAGCGAGTTGCGACGGTAACTAGATTCCGTCGGGATTGAGTTTGGCACAAATCGTCAGCCAATAGAATCGGTGAATTCATCGCCAGCGAGATACGATTGGCCAAAAATTATTAAAAACTTTATACGAAATGTATTCATGACAAAAACTCCTATTAAGTACTTTGTTCCTTTATAATTGTAGGTTCCAAACCGATTTTGAATAAAATTGTAGAGACGAAATTTTGCGACGTAGCGGCAGCGAATTTGTTTGAAACTTTTTCTTTTCACGAAATTACAAGTACAATCTTTTTAAGGAGAGAATTGTAGATAATGTCGACTGGTTAATAAGAATTGACTTCTCAATTACAATTAGGTACAGATAATAATTGAATATAAAAACAATGTACTATTAATGTAAAATCTCTTTGCATGATTAATGAAATTTTTTTCTGGAACCGAAGCCAAACGTAGTACAGCGTCAATATTGATAGTAAGCAAACAGAAACATAAAGAATTTTTAAAATCAAGATTAGAATACATTATGAGTAGTTTTCAAAATGAATAAGTGTAACGAACGAACATCCCCATACTAATCCCCTTTAAATTCAATATTAGCATTTGTAAACACTAACAAATCTAGTAGGGCACTCTTTAACAAACTACATATTTGGCAGAAACCCTATAAAGTTACTATTTAAACTATTTACCTCGTAACTGGGGCCCAACTATTCGGGTCGTGGTGAAATTCAGAGCACGGTTCGCAGGACCAATCGGATTTTCTCGGGGTCGCTGTGACGCACCGAGATTTGGTTAGGGTGCCACGGTGAAATTTCCATACGTTGCCTTGCCGTTGGCAACAACATTTTTGCGACGAATTTCGTCTCGATTTCGTTGAATATGACTTTTGGAACGTTTTAGTGTTCAAAGATTGTGTTAGGTGGTTTTTAGGTCAAATTTATTTGGTCTATGTTTTTATTGAATATGTATTGACTATCAATAGCTAATAATTAACCGACTTCAAAAAAGGAGGAGGTTCTCAATTCGACGCGCATTTTTTTACCATCCTATTTATGTACGTACATTCTAAGCTTATAAAAAATATCTATATCAATCACGCATGGGAAACTTAATTATGATAGCAATAATCAATAATTAGGTAATATGATTTACTCCTTAGTAGTGTGCCAATTTTCAATTATTATATACTGATTAACATTTGAAAAAACTGAATGCTTAACTCTATGCCAGACCCGAGAATACCTTTCCGAGCCCAGATCCATTGCTCGGAATTACATTAAAACAATATATAAATACATACATACATATGTACATATATGCCTTATTCACAATTTGCAAGTAATATAATACGGTTAATACACAAAATGGAATGCAAGTCCGATGCAGTCAATATATTCAAAGGCAGGCGGCACTGGCGGTGTATGCACATTGTTACATGAATCTCCGATAGCACCTCTGTCGGGCCTCGCAAGGATATCGATATGCAACAGTGTGCCGATATCTTATAGTCAGGTGGACTCAAGACTTCTATTGTGGACCGACTGGTGATGTTGAATTCGAATCATGCTGTCGTAAGTTCCTTCTTGGTTAGTTTATTGTCAGTTTGGATTAAAATCTATATCTATCAATCTATTCATAAATAAAATTAGTATCTGTTTCGTTGCAATAATCGATTTTTTTTTGCTTAAATGAATTTGATTACAGTTTGTGTTTAATCGTACACTCTTTACTGAGATTATGGTATGTCATTTGGTGGCTACCTTTGCGATTTCTGTCCACTTTTTCCTATTAGTTTGTAGCATTCGTCGCGCGCACGCAAAAACCCTTATAACTTACACAAACAAAAATAACACTATCTAAAATTCTTCTCTCTGTGTCTGGCTATGGAACGGCTGGACCGATTTTGACATAAATAAAGATAAATAATAACTGAAAAGTAGCCTACTTTTCAGTTCAGATCAATTCCTTAATTATATCACCAAAGAATAAAGCGTTCTTGTGCGATATAATCGAATTTTTACGAAGACACGGGTATAAGCTATTAATGTTTTTTTTTTATTCTGGATTTTTATTTCTATATACGTATTATCTGACGTGAAAGACTGTGAATGCATTTGTGACCTGTATTTTTTAAGAGCTTCAGTCAGTAGGTACTTTGCAGTATTCTACAACTATTCACACCAAACTTCGTAATTAAAAATGTTTTACTAAAGAGAATAGTAACTGAAGTTAGTTGCTATATGTTACACAAAGCAGGCGAGTCACAGCTCTCCTTGCTAATTACAATTTTACGAATTCACTCGCCCCCCTAATTACTAAAGAGTCAGAGGTACCTCTCTGTGGTACAAGTTAAAAGAAAACATGCCGCAGTGGCACTGGCACACTGATTTAGCTCCGAATAATTATATAAAACGTCTTATTAGTTTTTTCGGTAAAAAATTTATTGTATCTTCATTTAATAAGAGTTTTATTCAAATTCAAATTCATTTATTAATTGTAGATCACAGGTAGGTACATAATACAGTTATTATCATAATTTGGTTGAGCTCAGCTGTGTCCTGCCCATTTATTTTAGATGTAAAACATTATTGACAAAAGTTTCATTGCAATTTAGACTTTTTGTATATTATGGTGCTACATTTAGAGGACATTTTTATACATTCACTTTAAACAGATCCTTTCGCCAATTAGGTATGTGATTTTTAAACAAGGCGCAGTATCGCTTATTCCTATCACTTAAGTACATCATTAAGGGGAGTCACACCGCCCAAGTTATAATTAACGATGTCCAAAACTGTAGTTCGTGTGCCAATTAAATAATATTGAATTAAAAGCAAATGAAACAACTTATTAATGCCTTATCAAATAACATGACTTCTTTTTAAATCAGACGCCATATTAATTATTATTTATTTTTATACGAACCTTCTCGAAACTCAAAGCAATCATTAAGTTTATCGGCGTTATAGTCATGGTGTATGTTTACTGATTATTGAAGGTAACGACTTATATAATCACGTAATTCTTTGACAAGATAATTCGACTCGTTTCAAGAAAGCTAGGGGCTCATATTCATGGGCAACATTATGCGACACACGACGCGGTCTAGCTGAATCTTGTTATCTCTCAAGAAAGTTACAATATTTTTTTTACTGTTTATTACATTAGTTGAAACTAAAGTAGTATAGAGTTTCATGACAAATAAATAAGTTTCCTATAACTATATTTTGGTGAGAGATGCTTTCAAAATTGATTCCACCATTTCTCATCACTTGTTATATGAATGTTATGTAATAATGAACGTATGTTAAACATGTGAAAGGAGTTTTTCTTTATAGGCCGGTTTTTTTAAAGAATAGAATAGAATAGAATAGAATTCTTTATTTGCAAAGAATGTAGGTACAAATTATTTGGTGTTACATAGTTTTAAGGTTCCTTGTACATTCTACCATAATTGGCATGCAAATATATATAAAAGAAATTAAAAATAAAAATTAAAAATTAAAATTAAGAAATTAAATTAAAACATTCTTGAACTGAATAATAACACTTGTGCAAAATTAATTCTGTAACATGCTTTTTAAATTTTCTAAGTGGTTGTTCCTTTACAATATTCGGCAACTTATTATAAACAAGTGGCGCCATACAAATAACGCTTTTTCTAAAAGTGTTGTTTTAAAAACACCCGTGCTTAAAATATTTTTATATTGGGATCTTAAACTTATTGTTCTATTTCGAGTTTTCTTCAAGCTCGTAAACAGGTGTGAGTTTGTTTTAACATATATACATAATTCAAATATATAGAGACATGGGAAGGTTAATAGTTTATGAGACTTAAATATAGGTAGACAGCTCTCAGTTACTTTTAGGTCAAAAATAGCTCTGACGTAGCGTTTTTGAGCTTTAAAAATACTTTCTTTCTCGCTGCAGTTGCCCCAGAATATTACACCGAACCTTAAAAGTGACATAACTAGTCCGTGATAGGCAACCAACACGCTAGACAGGTCCACTTTTTTGGACAAATTGTGCAACATGAAAGCAGATGTACTCAACCTCTTACAAATACTCTCTGCTTGAGCCTTCCATGTGTTTAAGTAAGCAAGCAATTACTAATATGTATAAAGTTTCCCTATAGAGTCACAAAAACTTATTATTGATTAATAAAAACGCCAACGCAAACTGATATTAATCAGGGATCATTTGCGAGAGAACGAGCTTTTGTAAATAAAATACAGTATCAGGTGGCAATTCCACTGAATCAGGACGACGATTCCACTGAATCAGGGTGGCGATTCCACTGTATCAGTGAATCCGATGTTCGTGTTACGAGACAGTTGGCGTTTATGTCATGTGTTCAAAACGATTTAATGTATTTAGATAGCGTAACAAATGTACGAATATTACTGAAAAATGTATCATTCACTGCTTCGATATTCTGACGTGGTTTATATAGTTTTGATGTCGTCCATTTGATAGGTATTATGGATACTATAATATAAAAATATGTATATATACCTTGAAATTGAACGCACGTAATGGTTTTTTCCAATGTCAAAGAGATGTCTGAAGTGTTTTTTTTTGTTTTAAAGTCTCTTTTTATTATACAAAAAATATTATTAAAAAAACAAAATACCCGACTGCACACTAAAAAAAGAGTAAAACAAGCCCCACAATACAAATTTACTGAATATAATTTATAAATGTTGATGGAAAGCATCGCAGGCGGGGACCACCTTGACCGCCACCAACGAAAATTCTGCTAAATGGTGCACAACAGAAATGACTATAAATAAGCCTCTGTTGGTCCCCGCCTGCGATGCTTTCCATCAACATTTATAAATTATATTCAGTAAATTTGTATTGTGGGGCTTGTTTTACTCTTTTTTTAGTGTGCAGTCGGGTATTTTGTTTTTTTAATAATATTTTTTTTATTTATAACTTTTTAGCTGTATGCCAGGCCACGTCCTATCTTTTTGCTTGCTAACGCATGAGTTGCTTTGCGTTGACGCAGAATTAACATGTTCCCGTGGGAATTTTGAGAAAAAACGTATCCTATATTAATTACTCCCGTGATTGAAATGAATCTAATGATACCGCATACATATTTTTTTAAAGGGAAATTTAGAAAAAATATTATTATGTCTTTATCCCGTGGGACTTTTAGGATAAAATGTATCCTATGACACTCCCGTAATCAAGACAAATCTAACGATACCTCATACATCAAAATCCATCAAGCCGTTTAGGCTACAGGAGGTCACAAAGGAAAAGACATACATACATACTTACATACACTCGAAAAACATTACCCTCCTTCTTTGGCAGTCGGGTAAAAATAAAGGAGCTACTGTTTGAGATGAGACTTATCAATAGCTTAGGCAAACTTAATGTTAGAGACTGCTATTTTCAACAACCTAACAACCTTGTGTGAAGAGTAGAGACAATTATGACCTACCTATATATCCGAACAGGTATTTAAAATATCACTAACTATACGTATAATTGCTTTCTCTGTCCTTATATCCCAATGTATGCTCAAATCAATTTTTTTTAAACTGTTTTTTTAGATACTGTGATTAAAGCGGAATGTTGATATGTATAATAACATCCATTAAATATTAGAGAAATTTAGTATAAACAAAAGCGTTGCATCCGTGCGAAGCCGGAACGGGTACCTATATACGAGTAGTATCTACATATATAAACTAAAACCTAGTACTTACATAGTAACATTAGGTAAGTACGTTGTATATTTTTATATGTTCGCGAGCCATGTAGAGTTAGTTTTTAATAGTTAGAGTGGTGGCTCGGGTCGCGTGTTATTCAATTTTTGCTTCACCGCTACCATCAAACGCGTTACGTTTATACGTTTAGTTATGATACGTTGTAGGTACTTCAAAATTGATGTCAATGTGTGTGTGAGGCGGGTTTTAACCCATTATCTGCCGGTATATGAGGCACTATAGAAAATACACTATGGTTCGCTAATATATACGTTCTGGTATACCGAATGGCGAATAGATGGAAAGATTTTGTTTTTAATGGTTTTTGTTATGTTATAGGTTTTTATTGGGTATTTTACTATTGAATTGCTATTTTAATAAAATAAATTGAGATGATAAACAACTTCTAAACATGTTTGTATCATTTGATAAAACTTTTGAAATCTTAGAATGTTACAAATATAGTATAGTTTTTAGTTATCCTCAATTAGTTAATGTGGGCCCTGAGTCGTGAATTCTTCGATAGGAACTTGCTATAATGGTCATCCTTTATTACCGTAGGAAGGCACAATTAATTTAAAACTTAATTTAATTGTTACTGAGTAGGTAATGATGAGGATATATTAATCAGCTATAGTAAACGAGTTCAGTCATTTCGCATTACTTAAATTAAAATACGTGCCACTCATCATTTCATCCGCAACGTTCACCCAAGAATTTATTTTCAAAATTGAACTGTGGAAGAGCCATGCTTCGGCACGAATGAGTCGGCTCGACCGGAGTGATACCACGGCCTCACAGAAAACCGGCGTGAAACAACCACAGCGTTGTGTTTCGCCGTGTGAGTGAGGTTACCGGAGGCCCAATCCTTCCCCTCCCCCAATCCCTCCTCAATCCCTGAGTCTCCAAATCCCTAATCCCTAAAAGGTCGGCAACGCAATCATAACCCCTCCGTTGCGGGTGTCCATGGGCGGCGATGATTGCTTACCATCAGGTAATCGGTCTACGGTTTGCCGAACTATTACATAAAAAAAAACTTTAACTTACCCCTTTTCCAGAACACTCGTTGTTATTATGGTCTGTGGGACACTTGGTGTGGTCGATGTACGGGAAGATAGAAGTGCAGGTTTGGTTGACGCAGACCAGGTTGTCTCCACACGGAGTGCCGTCCCTCACCAGCCCGAGGGGCGCAATCTCTGAAGGCTTTGGAAGACCTGTGGTAGCTCTGGAACGCGGGAAGAAACTTGTGTTAAGATGAGAACATAGCTTTTTATAATATTTACTACATGCTCGTCTGATGGTAAGGAAAGATGGGGTCTATGGTGAAATACATTAGTCTAAACGTAACGTATTCACACTGATGAAGCGAGATTGATATGATAGAAAGGGTCATTTGGAAGAAAAATAGTAAAGGTATTAACAAGAAAAGGATGCTTAAACTCAGCGTATGAATTGACAAATACCTTTTTGACGCTCTAAAGATATTCATTTAACTATTTTGTTTTGAAATTACAAAATAAAACTCCTTTTTTGGACAGTTGTGTAGCAAAAGGATACATAGAAAAGTTAAGAGTCCTTTGCCATCACACCAAATGAATTGGATTGTAAGACTTGGATGTTACTGATAGTAAAAAAAATCCATTCGTCCATTCCGATTGTTATTCATTTTCCAGTCTTTAACATGGTATACTCACTTGCATTCATACTCGCTACCCTTGATGCTGATGACGGTTCTAGTGTAGTACTCGTCCATGCCAGATACAATAGGGTATCGGTTACCCTGCTGACACTGCAGGGAGCCACAGCGAACATTCCTGAGAATCATAAAAGTAGGTACAATTACAACTATTTAGGTGTATCATTATCCACAGAAGTTCCTTCTGCAAAAAAAGCACTAAGATTTGTGAAGAAAAAGTTTTGTCCATATAATTTTTTGGATTGTTTCTGGTATGCTATTCTGCAATTATACATTGAAGGATCAGAAACATGAGTGTCCTTCTCTATTCCCTCAAGGGAACACATTCAAGGTATCGTAAGAATTGCGTAAGGCTTGGCTTTTATTTTATTTCTAGACTCCACAATACAGACTTGAGTCTAAGATTAGTTTGATAAGCCTATTAAATATTTAGGATACTCACTCAGTCTCACACTTGATAAAATGTCCATTGCCATCCTTCCCGCAATGTCCAGTCACTGCTCCTTTAGAATTGAACTGCTCGAAACACTCCTTATCAGCTCCTAACGTCCCTTGGCCCCAAATCCTCTCGCATTGGAGGGACAATGTGGGACACTGTCCCGCGAAGCAGTACCCTTTGCCGTCCTCGCAAGGCTCTCCATTCTTCCGATGGGCGTCAGGAGGACAGGATCCAGAGAGCCCTGTGCATGTCTCTTCCAGATCACACTCGTTGGTGGCGTCCCGGCAAGTAACGCCGCGTGGTTTCAGCTGTCCATACAAAAGTATTGATATTCAAATGCAAGTCATTGCTTTCAGTCTAGTCACAGTTTTTTGACGTAATATTAGTCTAATAAGCAGCCTGATTAGTTGCTTTAATACAAGTTTATAATTTATTGGAAATTTGTTCAACAATGTACATTAAAAATCATGTTTCATCTCACAAATATGTATGTTCGTACACACGTCACTGAATTCTCCTCTCTCCCTAATTTCCAAGTAAATCACTCTTTTTGCGGTTCCGAGCGTCGCATTTGCATAGTTGTCCAAAACTTTATGTGGCATTAACTTTGTATTATTCAACATTATGACACACAGCTTGAAACATTAATCAGTTTTAAAACTGATGAAATTCAGACATTGCGTTGTAAATTAGTTGGAATACATTTGCCTGAACGAAATGCAAATATGTTTCGACTGTGAGACTCGTATTTAAATGACGGCCGTTGTTCTGTACTTAAGACCTAGAATTCTCTGTTCGCTAAAATCGAAGGTCTAGACTTGGAAGACTTGTAGCTAATTTACGCCTGATTTATTGCTGTCAGTGAAGCGAGACTTATCAATATACAATAGATTTCAAATGCACAGTTCAACGAATCAAATAACAACGAGAAACTTGTCTGCGACGTAAATCGCATCGAATCTGTTGCAGAACTGTTTGTTGTCAATTGAAATACGGATTTTATTATTATTATTATAGAAACTAAGTTCTTGGAAGTGTACCCTATCTACTTGGATATTGTTTCTTGCTTATGAAATATTATTTGATTGGTTTCAAAATACCTATCGACATTCGGTTCTATTTTAATATCATAGAAGAATGTGATCGAATTCCACTTTTGTCGCTAACAACCATATGACCTCACCTGACATCTTTCGCAGCACTCTCCAGAAGCGCACTGCGACTCCTTGGTGAGTCGGCAGGTGAAGGGGTCGCAGCATGGGTTACTGTTCTGGCACTCCGCTATGGTACCGCAGTCACACTCCTCGCCCTCATCCAACCGTCCGTTGCCACATTGGTGGTGGATCACCAACTGCACATAATGATAAAATGGTCTTTAGTATTGCCATATTAAGTACAAATTGTAGGATTATCATTATGGGAATGTTCAGTAAAACTTTTTTGGTATAGTAACTATTTCTAGAGATGGAATAGAGCTGCGCATTTGAAAGCACTTGCACATGTGTAAGAGACTTATTTAATTTTGTAAGAGTTTCAATAAACAGGTTATGTTAAGCATAAACCTCACTAACTATCCACTTTCATACAAATTTTGCATCCAAGAAGAATATACCACTAGAATACATCAACAATTTGATATCCTAAAAAACCTTGAAACAGAATAAAATATTCAGCAACGTGTAGCATATCAAGTCGGTGAAAAAAGCATTAGTTGTACAAGAGAAACATTTTAGAATGCCCAAAGGGTGCGAGGTGTGGTGCGCACTTATTTGTATTGAGTTTACATTACATATCGATGTTCTTATGTAGGCTAATGTAGAACAGATATCAATACATTGACATGTAAAAATCCAAGTGAATAATGAGAATGACTCGCGATGAAGTTACAAAATTTTTCGTTGGTGTGTTCTGCTCACGATATCTTGGACTTTGAATTTGAAATTGATGTTTAGGAATTATAATTTTAATAAGATCTATACAGCAAAAATTCTTTATACAGCAAAAAATATTAGATAAGAGGTCTATAAGTCGATATCACATGAAGAACAAGCATCAAAGTCATCAAGTCATCAAAAGTCCATCGTAAAATCGACAGCAGAAACTGCACACTGTGAGACCTTCCACAAAGTGATAAGATATCAATAACAGAATAAGTTCGAACATCAGATAACAAATGACGCATTACTATGAGCAGCCATGAACCACCAGAGGAAAATAAAGGCATTGGCTCACAATCATCCCCCGATAAATATGTAAACGTGAGAAATCGAAGGGGAGTACCAAGGCTCGGCATTATCATTCCTGACTATGCAAATTTATTCCAATAAACCTTGGCTGGCGTTCGTTCCTGTTATTATATATTCGCAAACGAAGAGATGATTCGGAGCGCGAGGGCAGCCGGTATTACCATAACTTTTATTAAAGGAGTGGGCCTTAGAGCGTTGACGACAAACAATACGACAGCGTCTGATTAATTTTCAACGTGAAAATCTGTTTTGAATTCGAATTAACTCTTGCGTGGAAGTGCCGACGATGAGTTCCCGACCTATTCACACAATACTGGATCCAACTTTATAATATATACATGTCTATTATATGAACGTATGTATGTCTGTCTTACATACTACGTGTAGCTGTGTTACCCGCGACTAAACTGGCGGATATTTTATAAGTTTTCGTTCTAGAATCTTTCTTTTTTTCAGATATAAACTTCCCTTGTGACCATAGCCTATCGTGTATACTTTTATATTTTAAACTAATATAGCTAAACCTACATAGTTTATGGCACATTACTAAAATAAGATATTAAATTCTTGTCATTAACTTAAACCGACTCATCGAGTTTTGAAAGGATCTCATCGTTTTTATCGCGAATCAAACTGATTTCACTCGAAGAGATTGACTCGATTGAAATCGATTTCACGATTCCGAGTTAATTAAATTTTAAATAGATAAGTTTTTATACTTCTAATCTTATTAATTTACTATAAAGAAATGTTTTTAATCTGATTGTAAATGGTATTATTGTTTGTTTAGATACGATTTACTGCAGTTGAAGAAATGACTTATATTTAAGTATTGATTTTTGTTACTATTTGGATTTAAAAGCTTATTTATACCGATTATGTGACCACAACAGATGCCCTCGTAATTTTGTTATTCCATTTGAATTGTTACAGTAAAGCTATTTAAGCACGAAATTATAAATCAGACATCTGTTTGTTCGTGTGCTATCATTTATCGTTTTGTTTGTGAACTAAATTAATCTAATAGATACATGCCGTCTGATTTAGTTTTTGGAAAAGCTATTTATAAAACTATTTTATTACGACTGCTGCTGAGCAATAAAAACTTAAAATACCGTTTTACTTTTACATATTTTATTAAACACTGGTTACTCCTACGCGATTTCACCCTGCTGATCGCGCTCAGTAGTAGCGTGATGTTTTTAGGGCGTTTAATAACAATAAATGAACTACATTTATAACTCAAAAATTATCAAATTCAAATCAGTAGTTCCGGAGATTACTGCATTCCAGCAGAGAAACAAACAATTTCTTCAGGTGAGTATAAGAATACCTACTTGATAAATTATTTGTGTTTACACAAAGCGGTTAATAATAGACATTATTTATTTACGCAATTTTATATATAACTGACGATAAAACAAAGATCTTTTCAGAGTTTCAAATATTTAGCCTTTGATGCTATTGTGAATTACATCAGTTGTTCCAGAGATTGTTTCGGGAAATAAAAACTTTAAGGTAATCTAGGTCTAGGGATCTTTGTGGTCATAAAAGTTACCTATCGTATAATTAAATATAATGAGGTCACAGTTTGATTGACAGTGCAATTCTAACTGATTTTGATTCAAACTCTTCATGCATGCATTCAATTAAGTTAGCTTTAAGTTAACCTACCTCATTAGGTTTATTGAGCAAGCACAGTCCTTGTCCGACCCTGAGTTCGTTGATGTAGTCGTTCTTGGAACAGTCAGAGAACTTGTAAGGCTGCACGTTGTCGGAGCCCACAATGGACTGCGCCATGATGCAGCCATGCCAGTCACGGCAGAAGCATTGCTCCCGACCGTCATCGTGGCCCATACCTGGGGAAGAATATACTATTATCGAGGATACCACCAAAGGTGGAAATGGGATTTGTATGTTTTATGTTTGTCCCTACACAGTGTGTTAAGATAAACGAGGGACATAATTGGGTAGTTTCCTTAAGTCAAAAATAAATTAATTCGACGTTTCAATACAATAAAATATTGAAAAATAACTATACTTTTATTCATCGATCGATCGATACACTTAATTTTAGATGTTTATTAACTAATAACCTATTGAGAAATAAGTAAGCTATTTGACGCAAAAATACTATGACGTAATTAATCAGTTTTTCATACAATTGTCATAGAAAAGTATTGTTATGACATGTGGATAAAAGTATTGATTTTGACTAGTTGGAAACTACCGTATTATCGAAGGAGCCCATTCCGGTGCTCTGTTAAAAACAACACTTTCTATGGGACCAATACTTATCCAAATTTCGAAAATAAATTTATTTTCCCATACAAAGCTCAGCAGCTGATGTATCATCTTATCTTACTTATAAATGTGAAAGTAACGATGTTTGGATGTTTGTTACTCAATCACGCCAAAACGGCTGGACGAATTTGGATGAAATTTGGCACAGCCATAGGATACACTCCGGAATAGGACAAAAGCTACTTTTTATCAACATACCATGCGGGCGAAGCCGCGGGCGGAAGCTAGTTTTGCATAAGACAGAAGTATTTTTTTATTTTTTTCTTTTCTCACCTATATTGTGTCCAATCATGTGCGCCATGGTCCCAGCGAGTAGGTGCGGCTCGTAAGTGTTGGTGTCCACGGATATGCCCACAGACTTGGGCGTGCACAGCGTGTCTGGGACTGATATTCCGGACTCGCCTCCCGGGAACGTCAGCCCGCTGCAAAGATCACCATGATTAAATAATTCTGATAAATATGTACCCAGGAATTTCGAAGTTTTATTATGGAGATGTTGCATTCTGAGTGCGGGAGAGCCATCGGGTCGGCTCGACCAGAGTGATACCACGGCCTCACAGAAAACCGGCGTGAAACAACCACAGCATTGTGTTTCGCCGTGTGAGTGAGGTTACCGGAGGCCCAATCTTTCCCTTCCCCCGATCCCTAAATTTCCAAAACCCTAATCCCTAAAAGGTCGGCAACGCACTCGTAACTCCTCCGTTGCGGGTATCCATGATTGCTTACCATCAGGTAATCCGTCTGTTCGTTTGCCGACATTATGACATAAAAAAAATGAATGCTTTTGCTAATAATGATCACATGTCTTGACTCATTTATGCACAAGGATTGTTCTAGAGTACTATCAAGGGATTAATTTATTACGTATTTTCTAAATTCAAATTCAAATTACTTTATTTGTAGATCATAGATTACAAAAGATGTTACAAGCTTTACATTGATCTGCTATGTCTTGCCACCAACGGCGTACAAATATGTTAAATTAATTTACCATTTATCAATTATACAAAGATTTCAGTATTCAGATTAGTCATTAAATTAAATTAAAATGTAGGGTCATTTTGAATATGCTTTTGGATTTAGATGGAATTTTATGACTAAAATATTTACAAAGTACCTAACAGTTTGCACAGTAACAAAGTACACACTACAGAACTTATCTTGTTAAAGTGCACTATTTAAACATTATATAATTTGATACACACATTCAAAGGGTTGTTACATTTTGTAGCGAAATTATACTATAAGTACTTGCATAGCTGTTCAGTTGAACTTTGTGTGTGAGGTACACACACTGTATGCAACGACTCAACTAGCATGAATCTTATGAATTGCTCATACGTCTTTGTAGCTCGAGTTCTTTGCGTGGAAACTCTTTAATTCCATGTTTAAATTTGTTTTGAGATACATTTCTAAATTGTCCCTTTAGTGTATATACTTTTATTTTATGATCTTTTACGCGTTCTGTACATCGAGATAGAAAATGTAAATAATATTTTGCTTTGCAAATAAAATTGTAATAAGTGGCTACACTAAGATCTTAGGGAAGAGTTAGCTTGTTTGTTCCACTTGTTTTCTAGCATTGTATGTTAGACCTTCTTAGGTAAATAAAGGAGATGTTTATCCTAGAATAGACCACCACCGACTACCGATGTTGTAGTCAAATCATTCTATAAAATTCTTAAAAAAGGTCTGACTATTTGAATATGGTGATGATTCAGAAGTAAACGTAAAAAAGTTAACGGCAAAAACATTAACTACACAAAACAAAAGCGTTTGAAAATGATAACGGCGGCCATTTTAATTGTCTCTGTTAAAAGTAGGTAGCATGCAATCATTTGTGCCCTTACTTAATAAGACATTCCATTAAAAATAAACGTATTTTCACTCACAAAGGGATTATCGCCACACTGGGGCCTCTAAAACAATTAGGTACGTCTGTTAGGCCATAAAAATTATAATAATCAAGCGTTTTAGGCTATTATACAGACATAAGGCGAATTAAAGCCATATGTGCGGTATATTGTCCTTTTTGTAAATAAATGATGAGGTCGCGCTGTGGAGAACGTCCACATATGTTATTAATTCGTGGGTAATTTTATGTATTAATGCTTTTTGTAATTGAATATATTCGGTAGATATAATATGATTTTTTATTTTAGAATCGTTGTTCTAGCTTGGCCGGAGTGCATGAAATAATGTAAGTAGCATAGTCTTCCGCCATGTAAGCGAGGTTACCGAAGACCCAATCTTTCCCCATCCTCCAATCCACAAATCGTTAAATCCTAAAAAGCATAACTTAATACATAGTCGATATAACGACTCTGTGTCTGTGGCAATGCTTATGCATCAGGTGATCTACCGGTATGATTGCCGTTTTATACCATTGAAAAACTAATAAGTATCTTGAGAACCTAACTACAGGTATCTATTGAGTTTACGAGTATGCCAACGGTTTTGTAAGGTTTTTTTTATTTATTAATTATACTAGTTTTTTTAATAATTTTATTACTACCTTACAATTCATTATTTTTATTCATTAAATACTAGATTTTGCTTGCAACCCTGTTCGCGTGTAATAGTGACTTCCTGCAGATTTTGGTATAAAAACTATGTCTATGTCTGTACCAAATTTCAAAGAAATCGGTTCAGTAGTTTAGGCGTGAAGACAGGCAGACAGACAGAGTTACTTTCGAATTAATAATATTAGTTTGGATAGAAGAAATCAAACGGAATCCATCAATCTATAACATATATCTTTAATGGAATTGCTTAGAAAAATGGTTGAAATGTTACTACCTAGTATATATTCGTGATCGCTTATCGACTTTTGTGATCGAAGACGAATTTGACAAACTTGGTAACGCGAGCGATAGCGTCACAACTTGAGGAAATATTACGAATTGGAATATACCGAATACTGACAAGATGGCGTACCTGACTTATTGTGTGTAGTTTACATAAGTATCTGATAAAGATCAGCCTAATGTTGTTTGAATGAGATAGTTGATTGTGATAGGAATGTTCATTGTAGCTTCTATTTCGGTTTCTTTTGCATTATAATAAGAATTAAATAGCAAATAAAATTCTTAGTAGAAAAAACACCAAACCGTTCACAACGAGTACTTATATTAGGTGTACCTATACAACATACATATATAATGCAATACATAAGTTGAACAAATAAACTTTTTGTAAACCATTGACATTTTCTAGCATCGAACAAAGCCACTACAATCTGGCATCTCCAATCGAGACACGAACTGCGACACGATAAAATAAAAAGTGCAACACTAGTTTGCAACATTCATTGAAGTACGCCACGACGCACGCCGCACCCGCTTTCCCGTATGTTTCCAATCGTCGAGTACTTCGGAACACAACTTTCAAAGGTACACTCGATGCTCAAAGAGCGGGCACACTTCCACGAGAACCGATTCGACTCGGATATCGGAAATTATAGTTGAATTACTTCGCCAACAAGCGATAGCGCTGACGTCATCGACGCCATCTTAGATCCTTTTGTAGCAGACGTTAGGAGATAATTAGAAAAAAGAACTGTTTGCGGGTTGATCTGATTGATTTTGAAATTGGAAGCTTTTGTTTTGATTACATTTATAAGGGCATCCATTTTCTGTTCAGCCAATTTTATAGATTAAGAATGTTGTTAATGTTTTATGGGAACCAATGAAATAGTTTTTACATCTACAAAGTTTTGATTATCGATGAATAGTTACTAGGCTCCTAGAAACCGAATTCAGAACAAAGCAAAACAGTCATAAGCTGCTAAATCTATACCAAGGCTATGGAACTTTTGTAGTATAGTCATAAATCCAGTATAGACCGCATAGGCATAAAAATGGTATTTTATATCCATCTAATCAAGCTCCGTGGGTCCCGTGCCTGGGTGGCAGACATAAAACCTTGGCAATTGTAACAAGTATTCGAAGCACGTCGCCAGGTGAGCATTGGAAGCCAATCACTTGGATTTTTTTTAACCAATTTATGTGGTAAGTATTGATAATATATTTGTTAGTCCTTTCCAGGCGCGAGGCGTTTTATAGAGTTTGAAGGCGTCTTAGTGTGGAATTTACAGATACTTTGGATGTCAGGAAGAAGGGAGAGAGATTGATTTCACATTGGGAAGACCTGTTCTGAATTTCGAAATTTCATCAAAGACTAACACCACTTGAAGCTTGCAAGCTTTGTTATATGCTCTAAATTTTAATAAATATTCAACGAAATATTTCACTTCTTCATTGCCCAACTCATTCAGTTTCTAAACTCCATGCACAAAGAGACGCTGGAAATTAAATAAAATGTCTGTTTGTTTATGTACGCGCTCAAGGATTGGCGGACAGACTAATTTTACTACGGAGTGTTATTGCGTTAGCTGTGTTTGTATTGAGCCCGGACGAAGGACCCAGGATATACACAAAATTATAAGAAATTATATATATAGAGGATTATAACCGAAGATAAACGTATCGTAAAGCGGTTTCAGAATATGTAGGACAGGTTCAGATTACTTTCTGTATCGAACCGATCTTATATTGTATTCAACTCTTACTAACTTATGGATGGCTAACCTCAACACAATGGAACGACCGCTTCCACGAAATATATCGACATAATATACGTCCGTGATGGTTCACTGAGCAAATGTATACACGAGTATTACACAGGCATAAACACAAAGCTCATAGTTCGGTTACGTCATGCCACGTCATCGATCTACTTGGCCAGATTCCTGAAAGCTCACATCGACACAAAATGAATATGTAGATTCAGCGTTATCCCAAAAAACGGGCAATAAATGCCAAGACCGCATTGTTCGACTGTCAATCTGTTGGCGGCATTCTTTCCCGAAGGATCGCAGCCATTTCAGGATACAGCACTCGTAAATATTTGATAGACATCAATCATTCACACGACACTCCCAGAAATACTCCGCTCGCATCGGAGACACTAACGTCCCGAGGATATCGGCGTGTATCTGCAGCTGACATCCTAAATTATGACAGGATACCGGCTGTCGGAAACATTACCGCGGATTCCTAGTAATTTGTAAAATTAGAGCGATAATAGCCGATGATATTTCGAGGGTCGTAAATCCAAGCGAATGTAACCTCAAAAACGAGGAGGTTAAAGTTTAAAATGAGGGAACATGAGCGCTGTAACGCTTTTCGTCAGATTCGTTTATCGCTCGAATTAATTCTCGACCTCGTTCGCTTTCGAGATTAATTTTCGAGCTGTTTAGCGCACTGGCAACTGTCTATCTAGCAATTTCGTTCGTTCAAAGTGAAAAGGGTTTTGTAAGCAGATTTGTGGAGCCTCGCTTGCCGGGTGAAACGTCTCTTGCGAAATATTTGTATTACTTTCGTACGAAATGCAGGCGAGGAGGGGCGCCTTCATAAAATGCAATGTAAGGAGTGTTATTTCTCTTCGCCGTACATCCGAAAGTTGCGTCTGAATTGTGAAACAAAATCTGCTTGGTAACAAGATTTACTTTCAAAGATTAAACTTAAACCTGCTATGTAGTTTCATTTTAAATGTTGTTCATCTTATGAATCTTAATAGCACTCTGGTTTACTCATTTAAGAATGTGTATCATTTTGGAATTCGGTGTAAGTACAAAAGTATTAGTGACGTTTACTTAAGTTAGATAAGTTGTTTATAAGTAAAAGAAATATTGTTATAATTGAATTTGATTGCTTTATACGATTGATAGTTCAATCCTTTATGAATGTAACTTAAACTTTAGACTGGCACTGCGCCTTGATCTTGTAAACATACTACATCCGTACTTACCTTACCTAGATTCCAATAACTAAATTGACTTTCCAATATCACTTGAATCCTAGTATACTACGAAATGGTAAGACTACCAAAAGACCCCCCAAATCTTCTATTATACTCACGTGAGCAACTGAGTAGTATCCTTCTCAATCTTGAACAGTTTCCGAGCAGTGTAGTCGCTGAACTTGTGTATGGCGCGGGTGATGTCCTGCTTTCGGTCGATGTCCGCCTGGTCTGCGCTCTGCCAGGACTCGATGTACACCAGGGATACCCTGGTGTTCAGTGTGCGGAAATACTGGAAATAAAATTAAGATTTCAAATGTCTGGCTTAGTAGTAGTATTGGAGTCGATAATTGTTTTCAAAAACTGTTAAAGTCCGTGTGTCTTAGCCTGACAACTTTTTTGCGACATCAATACCGAACGATGTGATATAAAAGTGGTTGAAACTACATAATCACTGTATTTATCATTTCATTTGATAAAGTTAAAAGTCAAGTTTCGTGTATTAAACCAGGTTCTGATACCATGCATACGAAATATTTTGAAGCAACATTTTTCGTCTATCAGTGGCACGGAGTACGCAACTAGCGACCCGCATGTAGGGAAAACTTCGTTAAGCAGAAAATTGGCTGTTCGGCTCTGTTTTAAACCCGGAACACCCCATTATAACCTAGCAAAACGTTTTGATTAACCCAAAAATTGAATTTTGGACAAGCATTACTTATTTTCGAGGTAAAAAACTTTTAATGAGTTTATGAGTTACGGGACTCACTGAATATGATTGAAACTTTCCGAGTTCCTCGCAGTTTCTGTGGCAGCCATAGGCTTTGTGCGACAATAATTCTTTTTTAGGAGTTAACAAAGTTATCTTCTTCGTTTTCGTGATTTAGACCTTTTTATATTGACCTTGAACCTTTATTTATTTAGGGTAAATCGGTTTCGCACTCTCCTTCTACGGATTGGTACAAAGTGAAGCAATAATTATTCATTTACGCTTATTGTCATCTTCTAACCTCAAATCATGGTCTCTAGCAAAACAGAAGTTTGTTATTTCTTATTACAAAGCGAGCATTACAAAGCCATAACAGAAAAATAAAGTTCAATATATGATGAAATAAAATAGGCGTCAGAACCATTCCACCATTTAAATCCAAAATACGTAACAAAAAGTATGATTAAATAAAACACAGACGGAACACCGAACCGTGCCGAATAATTAACAAACAGACAATATGGAGGTTTATCCGTTACGAATTTAAATTCAATTTTAGAATTCAACAGGATGTTCGGAAATAAATGGGATCTGTTGATTTGATTGATTAAGAGGATTACTAAACGCAATACTTACTCGAAAGGACTTTTCTAGCGGTTTAGGTATTAATTGTTAAATTTTAAACTTATGTTGTGAGCATTAGTTAAGAAACGAAGTTTAAGAAACTCCCAATCCAAAATTTTCTTTATTAATTTCAGTAGCTTTACACCCTGTGCATGTAATCATTTTTAAGGCTAAGTGCGTAATTTTCATTGAGAAGAAGGATGTAAAACTAAGGGACTCGATTAGTTCGTAGTTACAACAAAGATATAATAAAAATATGATTCTCAGCCAATGATAGTGTATTCAATACCATACTTACATAATAATATATTACTTATGCAAAAGAGAGAAAGTCCATAAAGAGGTCCATCACGATATTAAATTTATTGAAAATATATCGACTTAATCACGTGAATGAACTGAGAATTGCTCTACTTGTTTCAAGTCACAACCGGGACTCATATTTATGAGCAGATTTGGCGTTTCGGTGACGTCACATAGCCTAGTAGACCTTTTTTAGTTAATACACGTGAGTAATTCGTTATTTTCAATTTTAGTATTTCTCATTATAATTGCTTTAAGATACATAATATTTTTATAAACTACAAATAAAACCTTCTTATAAATAATAAATTCAGCAAAAATAATGTCACCTTTGTCTCGTACCTTTTTTTGTATAAAAAGGGTGTAAGCCTGAAGTGTTGGTTGTCAGGTCTATATGGAAACACTAGAGCGTTGCTCATCATAATTTGTTGTACCCTCATGACACGTGTCACGTGACACCAGCCCGGTGACGACATATGTCACGACGTGACCCGAGCATTTTACTGTTTTATGCTTCCTCTAATTAGGTTTGCTGGCCGGAGATGTTTATTAGTGAGTTTGGTTCTATGTATTTTTTGAATGTTGGTAGAATTTATTAAGGACTTCTTATTGTATACTTTTTAAATTGGTTCCAAAAAGAATGAGGTTTTAAGTTTGAAGTGGTTTTTGGATGTATAAAATTTTGTTAGTTACTCGTCATGGGCTTTACCGATTTCCTGTTATGTTATTTTAAGTTAAAATATTCCAACTGTGTATTTTAATAAAATCAGAAATAGTATTTGTTTATGAAACTCTCTGTTGATTAAGTAGTTTTTTTTGAGATGCCTTAACATCCTATCGTATTTATTTTTGCAAAAATGTTTTTTTTTGTACAAATTTTTATACCTAGGCATTTATTAAGGTGAACATAGACATGGAAATTTTTACAAATACAAGTATAATGAAACTAAATTTTTTTCTAAGCTGACCGAAGCAATATAGTTCAGTACCTTTATTTCTTTCTTACTATGTACAGTGGGTACATAAAATAAGTATAAAAGAGGAACAGTTTAGGTTTTAGGTGTTTTTATCTTGTCTGTAACATAATCACTAGCGAACACTACGTAGCAAGCAAGTTGTAAAATAAACTAAGGACGTAATGATCGTAAATCTTATATACGGGTAGAAATAGGCTCTAAAGTTCGCCAAGCGTACTATTTTTGGTTGTCCACATCATATTATGCTACAAAAAACCAGTATATCATGGCCTCGCTCCGTATGATTAAGGTGTAGGAGAGCCATACTTTGGAACGATTGCGTCGGTTCGACCACAGTAGTGACTATGTCTCACAGAATAATGGTATGAAACAAACACAGCGTTGAGTTTCGCCGTGTGAGCAAGGTTACCGGAGGCCCATATCCCCAAAACCCCTTATCCATAAAAGGTACTCGATACTTGATGCACATCATCAGCCTAATACTGTACCCACTGCTGAGCAAAGACCTCTCCTCGCGGAGAAGGTGGTTTCAAACTTATAGTTAGAAATTATAAGTTCAGGTTTAGTCATGGTGTTCTCCTTCACCGTTTGTCAGGGATGTCTAATTACACTTTAATGCACATAATTATTTAGGAAAGGTCCCATTGATGCCAAGGAGGAGAAGCAGGATGAGAAACCTCCTGATCAAGACGACCTAAATTATCACAAGCAAAAAGTAACCAAATTTCGGAAGCAGTAAGGTTAAATTTGAATTATAACTCACCAGATCAGCAATATTAGCTACTTGAATAGCATCATGGACGACCTCCGACCTGGTGCTGCCGTTTCTTCTGTCAAACATAGCCTTGTCAATCACTAGGGCTGTCTCTATGTACTTCGTGGTTTCTCTAACGTCACGCCTGCGTCGGTTGAGTGCGCGCAACCCTGCGTCCTGCCACCATCTCCACGCTCGTTCTTCTTTTGTTCTTGTTGTTGAGTCCCTGGTGAAGAAGATAATTTGATTTACTCAATATGTTAGCTCCTTATTTTTAAACTAGATAGTGACGTTATGTATATATATGTATACTATCCAAAGTTGTTAGTGAACAAGCATCTTTAAACTGTAAAATGAATTTAAAGCATCATTATTTTATTATGTTTACGTGTTTTTTATATTAACAATTTTCTTTAATTCATCAAACTCCGAGCGAACGCCTGCGTTTTGTGTCTCGAATTACTAAGATTGAATTCACTTTTTGAATTTTGTCGTACTTTCTTTTTGTGACGTATATTCAAATCACCGTCCCGCTAAAAAATACAGACTATAATCGACCACAGATAATATAAGTGCCACGGATGATATAAAGTGCGTAACCTTAAAAATCGGTTTTAAGGCTATTGGATGAGGGAGTGCCTCCCTACAGGGGAGTGCTTAATCAAGTTTATCAGTCCCTTCACGCCCCTATTATTGGAAACTAGGGAAATTTCCCAGACCCGCCCGGGTAGATTGCTTCCGGGTTTTCGATTGGAGTATTGTAAATAGAAATGTTTTCTTTGCCATACGAAGGTGGGTGTTATGACGTGTTTACATTGATGCGGATGTTTACAGGGGCTTTCCTGAAATGCTCTCATTATTGGGAGAGGTGTAAACTAATGTTTTCGATCTTATTGCTATGTGCTTTTCGAATAGATTTATAGTAATACTGAGGACTGGCTGAGAACATTGAAAAAAAAAAATAATGTTTATTAGTTATTGTAGCAAAATAATTAGATAGGAACCTTAGAACGCAATTTCTAACAAATACTCTGGGGACGAGGTCATCATAAAGCCATATTAGAATGTTATTACATATTTAATTTGGATCAAGAGTGTCTGATTTAGAAGATTTGTCCTTAATTGAAACTGTAAGTATCTCCCTACTTATAAAACATTAAATTCTCTTTAGTATCATATTGTTAATCCTAGTGGATTTCGAAGTTACACAATTCGAATTTTAAATGATAATAATATTAAATTTTACATTCTATCTGTTACAAATTTTCTTTTCATAAAGATCAGCGTCGTAGAAACTTTTTTCCTTTGAAATTGAAACTCAGTCCCAAAAGTGCGTCTCATTGTGACAAATTCTCCAAAATCGAACACAAAAACCTTCACATAATTAATTAAAACTTCAAAACGTTCGTTCATTACGTTCGCTCATTCCGTTCGTTCATTATCTTTTTGATATCAAATGATTCGGTAAGCGACACTTTTTGAATGTCAATGCTATCATTAAAATATTGCTGAGACATCAAAGTGAGTGAACGAATAAATAGGAGTGAAGAGGAGTGCCTCTGAGGAAATTGCTTTCGTTCTATATTTATTTATTTACTAACTAGTGTTCGGTATCCGACTTCGTTCGAGATTTTTTGTGTTATTACGTTTCGTAGTTTGTAGTCTTTGCTATAACATTGCAATTGGTTTCAGGAAAGAACGTGTGTTGTAATAATAATTTAAAAAGGAGGCTTTTAGCATGAAGTCCTCCTTTATGGCGGTAAAAGAATTTGAAATAAATGAATAAAAAAGAAAAATATTATGAGACTTAAAAATCTATTTTACTAAAGGGTTTAAAGCCAAATGGTATATTCTCTATTTATCAAGTTGTAATGTTATAGAAGGTTCTAAACAAGATCCAAGTAATATTATTGTAACCATATTAAAAGCATAGAGCCGTATGTAACAGAGGTTGAGTCAGTGTCAGAAATACTGACCACAGACTATGCACTATAACGAGAATTTCTGACCCGGGAATCCAACCCTTTGCGTCTGGTCGTTAAAGTTTAGTCACGTTTGCGTTCACTCAAGAATGCGACAGTTTACTTATCATAAATTGTCACATGTTGTGTGTCATGTACGTATCATTTTTTTTTCTTTAATAAAACGTTGCCCTACTTTATGATTTTCTTCTATGTGGTGGTTGCTTTAGCAAACATATAATTTTACATACAGAATCAGAAAAACAATTTGTAGATCACACAAAGAGCTTTCCGTGCGGGAATCGAAGCCACGATACGTTGTACGCCAGCTATTTGCCCCATCATCGCGTCAACCCAACAACGTGCAGTCATAATTGTTACACAAATATTTTACAATGATGAATGTATTTTATATTTTATTGTGAAAACAATTGCTGTCACACTGCTTCCTCATAACACTTGACAAAGTAACAAACCACAATACTATGACAAATATATGTACCTATGTATATCCTTAACCAAATATTCTATTTACGACTGGAACAATTAAGTTCTATAAGACAGCACTCACAGTCAATAAATGATTCAACAAGACCCAATTTACAGAGGCTGGTGAAAGGAGGGCCTAATGGCGTGGCAGGTTATGGATTACATTGTATTGACACTGCAAACGAATGGGATACTGCAAAGGTTTCTTAATAGGAGTTGGATAATAACCATAGCGTAGTGTTATTGGCTGATTAGGTTTTGTGATTGAAATGTTTTGGTAGTAGCTCAGATTCTAATAATTTACCATTTTTCACAAAGATTTTTTATACAGAGTTGTGGAATACTTCTATTGGTGCGAACGTTTTATTCACTACTTTACTTATAAAAACCCAAAACGTTTTGGTACTAAAAGTTGCTAATAAGCTAAGCTAGAACTAAGCTTTGGAACGACTCGGCTCGACAGAAGTGGGTATCACTGAAGATAACAGTCATTTGTTTCATGTCATAGCATTGTTTTCGCCGTGTGTGTGAGGATACTGGAGGCCCAATCCTTCCCCTTCCCGTCTCTCCCCAACCCCGAAATCTCCGAAACCCTAATCTTTAAAGGCCGGCAACGCACTCGTAACTATTCTGGTGTTGCTGGTTTTTATGGTCAGTGCCAATTACTTATTATCAGGTAATCCTACTACTCGTTTGCCAACCTATCACATATAAAAAAACCATACTAAGGTAATTTACTTGGGAACTTTTATTAGTGATTAAGTGCTTATACGACAATACTTCAAAAAACTATACTAAGGTACTTTTCTTGGGAACTTTTATTAGTGATTAAGTGCCTATACAATACTTCCACCCACAATTGAACTATGCGTGCCACGCACCTAAAAGTACTGTCATTAATACGGAACGTGGGTGTCAATAATTAATTTGGATTAATGAATCACGTTGCGGTGGCCATTAGCATAGCAGGGCCGAGTGTGAGGGCACCAGCATTTTGAAACGGTGACTGTCAACAGTCGGTCGCGGCAAATTAAATATGGCCGTCTGTGGCCGGCATCAGGTGTTTATTGACAGACAATAATAGGGGTAATTCATATGCTCATGTAGTTTATTCGGTTCACACACTTTTTTACTTCGACGAAGCTGGGTATGGAACAAAAAGTGTCTTCTTTGCTTTTGGTTTAACTGGAATGACTGTAACATTCTTTAGTTCAATTTTATTAATATCCATAATATTTTTTTATTTGTCTTTTCTTAACACAAACCAGTTTGTATGGCGGACTTAATGTCTAAAAGCATTCTTTAAAAGTTATTATTCATCACAGATTATTCATAAGACTAAAAGGCTCATAAATTTATATTTAAATAAAGATATTAATTTTTTGAACAATACTTCTATGTATTTTGAATGTTCCGCTACGTTTAACGAAGACCTCTTAAATCAAAGATCCCCTAACAACCAGAGACACAGTTAAACAAATCCAATATAATATTCAACAAAAAAATGAAGAGCTGCATAACAAAGTATTTCGCTTGGTCGTCCAAGTTTAAATTATTTCTCAAACAGATTCAAATAGAATTCAGTAAGGAAACTCAGTGTTTAGTCGACCGGAGAAAAAATCTCCTGAGCCAAGTTGGCACGCTGCATTATTCACTTCTCACTTGGCCTTGGCTTGGTATACCTATGATTAAAACAAACTTTTCCTACCGAACTGTTCTAATGTTCGAGGAAATTCAGTTTTTAGTTCAACACTTAAATTTTATTTAAAGTAAGGTCTAGTTTGCTTTGTTCGAATTTTACTCGCTAATGAATTTAAACGACGCTTTTTATTTCATTTCAACGGTTGTTAAGTTGCTATTCATTGTTCATTATTATATGTTGAAGCTAGCAACTTTAGGGCACTATTTATAAGCGTTATTGTATATGTACAAACTTGGTCCATGTTTTTGCCCAAATTGAGAAACGCCATTAATTTTCGGAACATCTCAATCACGTTTGTGACGTTTTTAAACAATGACGATGTTTTGTTATAAAAGTGACACTATCCCACATAATTATTTTTTTATCCTATGTCGTGGGTACCTTCAAGCATAACTATTTTCATATACTAACGACCCAGATTCGAAACTAAACTGCGGTAATAGAACTCGCGACACGTTTGCATTTAGCAGCCAGTTGCCCAGCCACTATGCCAACCAACAGTCACGATTTAACAATAATAATTATTAGCAAAGACAAAGACTTCCTGAACAAATAGGGCTACCTCAAAATAGAATTTGCGTCCGTACCAAGGTATGACGTAGCCTATTTACATCACCAGCGCCACCCACTCGTCACAAATACTTGAATGGTTCAAATAACAACTGATTGCCTTAAGGGCATCCCTGTTGTCGCTTCAATAATTCCGGGACTTGACCCCCGAGGGTACAAGATGAGCATCTTAACACTCGAGTGATTCAAATATATCTTGTCAGGCAATTATTGTGTCAATATTTCTCATAAAATTTTAAATAAGGTTGATATTATCCTGCACGTGTTTCGGTTTAGGAGGAAAATTGTTGAAAAATATTTTTATTGGATTATGACAGCTTTAGAATCCAATTTTCACAGGAGTTTGAAGATATATTTATAGGAGTTTTTTATGGTTATATCGCATTCTATTGTGGTATGTACATTATTGACAATAAAAACTTAGTAACTATAGTCTAGATGAATTTTTTTATTGCGTCTTACTCACGCGAATTATCTGAGAAAAACTATTAGTGAATGGGAACTAGAAGAGTTTTGTATTAATCAAGCTAATGTACAGCTAACTCTACGCGTCCTTTACCAGTCGGCTTTTGGGTAAGGCAGAGGTGAGAGTGACCGGTGACATTTTTACACGGAGAGACATCTATCTAACCCGTTAAACCTGCATAAGCAATTAATATTTTGACTGCACGGTTGGCGCGGTGGCTGGGCAACTGGCTGCAGCGCAACGTGTCGCGGGTCGTGTCGATTCCCGCACTAACAACTCTTTGTGAGATCCACAGATTGTTTTTCCGGGTCTGCGTGTGATTTGCATGTGAAATTGTATGTTTGTACCCACGACACAGGAGAAAATCCTAATGTGGGAAAACGTTTTTTTTTTATATATGTATTATAATTTTTTATACATTCTTTATTTTCTTTTAATCTGACATACACAGAGCAGGAGATATAATTTGATGATATTTACTCACACAATAAAAAGGATCACTTAAATAGTTTAAGCAATCACTTAAGTGAGGCGATACGATAGTAAGTAACAATTTTAGCTTAATCAAAATGAGGAAGAGATGTTCAATGATTTCATAGACTTGTTCAATAATTAATCTGGTAAATTAAGCGAACGTTGGAAGCCGCTTGTAATCTTCCAGCTTCCGGCAATAAATCGATTCGGTAAGCACTTGTAACAAGTTAATTCTTCTCACTTTTCATTCTGGATTTGTTACTTAAAATGTAAAGTTGATTATGAAACCTGTACATTGAGAGATAATTAGTTGAGTGTACTATGTATCCTACACTAGTGCGTTAACTAATAGATTTTATTCCAGTGTATTAAGTACAATGTTGTTAGGGGTTTTGTGAGATCCCTTTTGTTGATAATTTAGCTCTCGAATTTAACCTTTGTGTTGAGAAACTGTTTTTATTTGTCTTAAAGGGTGCAACGCTGATACTAAATGTCTTCATTGTTAAATTGATGTTTTTCTATCTTTTAAAAAGCCCAACAAAATCCGTAGCGAAGTTTTAAAGGTTTATGTGTAGATATAGGATATACATAGAAAGCGACTTTGATTGTATACTATGTAGTGATTTGAAAATAATTAAGACATACATATATTATTAATTTAATATAGCATGTGTATGAATAACAGTTAATATAATAAGTTCAAAGCCTATTAATAATATAGTATTTACTTACATATTGCCAGGGTCATCAGCAAGCGGTTCTTCGACGAAGGGCACGTGCTTGGTGCGACGACTCTTGGGCCTGAACTCCAACTTGTTGGCACAGCCCTTGTTCGCCTTCGTTCGCGCCTCAAAGATGACATGTGGGTGCTTCTGCTGAAACGAATCGGTAAAAAACGGGTACTCATTAGAGGTGCTCTCTTTGAATGTTTTAGGTGTCTAGTTCTATGGATATTTGGATAGGAAAATCGTAATTATGCTGCAATGAGCAAACTGTCGAATTTTGTATCAGAGACTGTTACTTGAGTTCTATCAAAATTGGTTAGTTGAATATTACAATAGGGATTTTATATTGTATTTTTATAAATATTCATAGATGATTAAATAAGGAAATTAACGTTATGTTAGACTACAAATATTGGTAGACACGTCACTTATGGAAATAATTTAAATGAAAATATTTTCCGCTTGCATAGCGTCATAGCGTAAATCTCAAGAAAAGCTTGAATATTTCAGAAAATAATATTTTTTCATAATTTGTAAATGAAAGGGAATTTCTAATCTTTTTCTTTAATTATCGAGGTCGAAGAACAAGACCGAAAAAAGGGTCTTATGAAACTCCATGGAATAGTGATAAAGAAATAGAAGAAACGCTATCTTTTAGGAGATAAGTGGGAGTAATATCTAGCTAATAAGCATTACGTTTTCCCGGCCAGTGGCACGGAAACATTCAGCGCTTACGTAACGAAATTTCGGGACATTTTTCCCTTAAAATTAGTTTCATTAATCACATTTCAGATGTCTGACGCCTCAACGCTCACTAATTTAAAATGAATTACAGTTGATTCATGCAAAAACAGTGGAAACTTTCCAATTCTCGGAATCGTGAGAGTTTTCATTACGAATTTCCTTGTTAGGCTAAATAGTGTTACAACTTATTGACAGAGTTTCAAATTTAATTTGAAGTTTAATGAACCTTGTAACGCAGAATGTCTATTTAAGGAACATTTTTTATTTATGAAAAGGTCTCATTGCTTATAGATGGAAAATAGGTTTTAAAAGTGCTAAAAATTGCTTACACACGAAATTATTATATTACGGGTGCAAGAACAATAACATACCGCCTCCTCACCCAGGGCGACAGAAATAATATGATGATATTCCCCGCTCAAAAAAAAAAAGTAAACAAAACAGTTTTGTAGTTGTAACAACTTCAGTAACAACAACTTCTTTCGTGACAACTTCAAATAATGGACGACAAAATAACTTCTACATGACTTCTACAAAAAAAGCAACTATGCTATTGCGTATTATTTTCCTTTTCTTTTTTTTTAATTACAACTATTTTAATATTGCATGCTAAAAAGGGACTGCGATGTATTTTTTTTCTTATATCAATACATGATTATCAGATAAATGAAATTATATATAATTAAACAAAGATGACGAGGTTAGCTTGTAAAATAAATTTAAATGTATAAATAAATAAATATATAAACTATATTCTAAGAAAATGGTTCCACAATTAAAATTGAACACGAAAAATGTAATAAAATTCTTGGAATAGAAACGAGCTCAGGCATCCTTTATTGACAATTTGGCAATCAACTTTTGGCGAGATTAACTTCGTTTACAATTGAAAGGAACGATGTAAGTCTGACGGGTTCCATTGATTAAAGGTCCCCTCAGATAAAAAGGGGGTCAAGCTAATCGGGACTAATCAGGCAGGAGTCAAAAGCGTCATTTTAGGACTCGTGACACAAGAATTAACTGTGAATGGATGCTCGCTTCAATGATATACGTGATAAAATGACGCTTTTTTAAAAAGCGTATCGTAAATTTATATTGCTTAGCAAATATAACCAAATAGAGAAATATGTTTATGGTTGATTCTATTATGTTATTAAGTAAATCAAAGTAAGTAAGTAGTTTCGACTGCATTGTTGGTGCGGTGGCTGGGCAACTGGCTGCCGTGCAACGTGTCGCGGGTTCGATTCCCGCACGGAACAACTCTTTGTGTGATCCACAAATTGTTGTTCCGGGTCTGGGTGTCATGTGTATGTGAAATTGTATGTTTGTAACCGCACCCACGACACAGGAGAAAATCCTAATGTGGGGCAACGTTTAAAAAAAATAACATTGATCCAGATAAATAAAAAAAAAAGTAGCGCGATTCAGTGGTTGGCGCAAATATTGCTGTGTATGCCGCAGATTTGGTCCCGAGAAGAAATATGGACTCTATGATAAATTTAATACTGAGTCTGGGTGAAGAAGTCGTAGTTTTTAGAATGATTTTTCTTAAATCAATATAAATATTTCAAACCAATAAAATGATAGACCATTTTATGAAACACAATTAAAACCATTACCTACAACCAAATCCATTCATCAAACCAGAATAGAAAATACAAACTTTCATAAAGAAAAATTACCAGACATACATGCTTAGCCGCTAAAACCCTTTTCAACCACTTTACCACCGCCTTAACCACAAATTGTAATCCAATTCCACCATCAATACCTTACGCAGAACTATTGAATGCCGCATTGATGGACTGGCCAAGTGGCCCAGGACACGTTGTGGGGCTTAATGATCTAATAAAATACGGCTGGTCCATCGGACGTGAGGTGAGAGCCAAGTGGACCGTGGATATAGGGAGACACGACTTGGCTACAGTCTGACACACCCCCGAACTTGGCACGCTTATTTAAATGGCGTTGCAGGTTGCTGATGTGATGGAATTATCTATTTTGTTTTTTTTTTGTGATAATTGTAGCTTTTGTTTTTTAGTTTGTAGTTCTGTTAGCAATAAAGCGTAAGTTTTGATGATCTCGAGGTTTATCAAGGGCACAATGTTTATTCGAATGTTAAAAAGATAAATGTGTTAAAACACACAAACCATTACTTTTATTATTTTTATTATTTCTGGTTTGGCATAGGCTCAAAATAGAGCTTTTCTATGATTTTTTTTTATAATCTCATTTATTTTATAAGTTATACATCCTAAGATTAAGTCGGCTAAAAAACAAACAAAAAAAAATAATTGACAAAAAATAGAAGAAGTTCAACTATGGGAGTAAAACTTAATCTATAGATTTATAATAATCTTGTCTTAAGGTTAGGGAGTACATTATAAAACTAAGGAACCGGCCACTGTGATCCTGAGTGAAGTTTGCGCTGAAAACTTCGTGCACAAGGCAGAGGAGCTCCCCGGCCGGCCGTTTTCTATGCATTTTATTGAAAATAAAAATAGGTATACCTGACATGGCAGAAACTTTAGTTGTTAACTTCAATTGTTGTCAACTTCAGCTCGTAATCCAACTATCCTACTAATATTATAAATGTAAAAAATTGTGAGAATATATGTTATTTGTTATTCTTTCTCGCTAAAAAAGATGAAATTGTTTGAAATTTGGTACGTGATATACTGCATTAACGAATACTACACACGCTACTTTTTATCCACCTTGTGGGCGTACGCTAGTTATTAACATAATTTTGCACTTTCAACTAACAATACAGTCTTGCAAGTTAGAATGTAGAAAGTACAACTAAACTTTGTTTAAAAGATGCCACTTCCATTTGTTGTATTCTTTGTAGCGCAGTTATAGTTGGAAACAAGCGCCGCCGTTGATCGATGAAGCCGCCCAGCCAATATTGATGATGGCCAGGTACAGCGGCGATTTGCCAGCCACTATTAATCTTTAAATTTATATTTATTTCTTTTATAGCAATATTGTGTACAGGTAATAATACGGCCTTTAAGTTTTTTAAGTTCTAATAGAAAATAACTGTGTTGAAAAGTAGATGTCTCTGTAAGTCTATGCTTTCAATATATGCATATCTACAAAATTATGTATGTTTTCTAATAAGAAACAGTATTTCGATTCACGCAGGTTACTTTCTTTTTATATTTGAATAAATATTACTGTTACACTGTTCTCAGATAGTTGAACTAACTGTTTGTAAAAGGATCTGTATATGAAACTGATTTAAAAAGAGTAACCATGGAGTTTCTTGCTCGTTCTTCTCCATCGGAATCTACACTTTGGAACGAGCAAATACCTTCACTAAGAGGACTGACCGACAGACTGATACATTATCTTCAAAATTTTGTTTGACGTTCAAAAGTGCCTGTAAGGGTCTCATTGGAATAAATGATTTTTGACTTTTGACTTTTGACGCGATCCTTAATTTAACGGTGACGAACTGTTTTGTTAAGTTCTTTAAAATTAATTAATTATGTTTACCGGTTTAAGCAATAAGAGGCATTCGCTATTATGCAAGCTTGGCTTGAAATCAGTCGGGTTCCTCGTCAATTACTTTACGTGAGCCGTTTTAGTTTGTTTTATATTAAAATACTTTAATATAAATATAATTATTAAACATACTTAAAGATATACTGACTGTAGTAAAATAAAACTGTTTTGTTGGCATTTCAATGATTAATTTTCGATTAGTCAACCAATTAACAGACGAAACTGATAATGACGATGATAGTTATTTAAGACCAAAGTACAACTTGAGAAAGTCAATTCAATTTAATCCTTGGATCAAGTTGTTAAGAAGGCATTAAAACTTAAATAATTTTCCAAACACGCACAAACTGAGAGTAGGTAAGTCGTAACTTGAAGAATAAAAAGTTCTAAGTATTAATTCGAAGTTTGTTATTTGGTGAAATATTTTGGTTTTCCCTTTAGCCCACAAATAACACGTAAAGTGGAGTAAAAACAGAAACTCTTAGTAGCAGGAGGTTCAGCCGTGAGAAATATCCAATTTAGGTGCGTTTGCCCTGTAAATTGACGCCATTTTTCATTTAGACCGACTGCCATGTTGTGTAGCGGCGCCGTGCAAGATGGCCGCCCCTACTAAAATATTAAACAAATAATAATAGTAATGTTTTATAAAATAGTGGACGTAGGTATTCAACAGGCAAGAGTTATCCTTTTTATGAAATTTAATACATATATTATTTTAGAGTAATAATAATAGTGAGCAAACAACGAAAATTCGATGTAAATTAAAATCTTAAATTTGGTAAATTCAGATGATAATTGGAATTACATTACCTATATTATGATTTTTAGTATTTATTTTGTAGTTTTATATTTATAATCGTACAGAATAAATTAATTTAATATAATGAAACTATAAG